GATTGGCTTTCATTCCCTGTAGAACAGACAAGGAGAAGGGATGGGTGACTGAGAGTGACAACAACCTTTGGGAACCAAGCAGAGCAGAATTTGCATTGATCATTCAGATGATTAAGCCACATGTATGAATATAGCATTTCAAGTGACAAAGAAGGCAGTATCCACAACTGAGTCATCTGAAAGGACTGGAAAGAGCTTATGGCTTCTGATATTCAAAACACATAACATGGGAAACTTCATGAATACAATTACAATTATTTTATTACTAGCTTGTTCTGAGACTTGGCTGATAAGAAATCTAACACCCACACTGGTTAAAAACACATCACACCTGACAGAATCATAGACTTTGCACAAGAACTGAATAACAGAAGTTATTTCATTGCTGGGAATCACCACAGAGGAGACACATTTTTTCTCACAGCCTTACAAGGAGAAGAACTCAATACAAATCCTTGGTTGGAGAAGTTTCTATCCCCAAATTCATCCCTGTTTATTTGACACCAACTTCCCTCTAGCTCAACAGTTTCCTTGCCACCTGTGCTAGTACAGTAACAGAACAGCAGGCAGAACCAAAACTTCTTAGAAAAGGTTAAGTGGCATCATTTTTCAAGATTCCAAGAGTCTTCCAAGTGCTGTGGCCACTGCAGCTTGGAGGAACAAAGGATGGGTGTGGAAAAGAGAGCCCATAAGGCTCTCCAGGAAAAACCCATTGTAACAACGGGGGGCTTCCCAATCAATCATGTTTGTCAGCATTACATTAAAGAGCATCTCTGTCCATATGCTGCTCCCCAGTTCCTGCTCACATGGAGTACAGACACACAGACATGGAAAACAGAGGTGCCTTGGACAGCAGGAATATCTGCTGACCAGTGACAGGCTTCAAAACACTCATTTCCATTGCCCCTCTGTGAATGAGTTCCTTTCCCCATCCACAGAGAGGACAAAATGTCTCTCCTGTAAACATTAAACACTCAGATAACTGTCCTCAAAAGGGCCTCAGAACACTAACAAATTAAAAATAAAACTATTAACATTTTAACTGGCAAACATCAGACACTGCTGAACTTTAAAGAGGAAGTTCTAGACACAAATATCCTTAAATCAGTATGACATTCATTTTGGACTGAACTACTGACCAGTATACTATTACAAAATTCTTCTGGTTGCACTTCAGAGCAATCCAGTCGTGTAAAAGAACACACCCCATAATACTGCAGGCCACAGTTTGATCTCATAAACTCAAGAGTCATAGAGTATGTATGATTTCATATGCACAGCCAGGAATTTATGGTGTGACTCTTGGGCTGTCCTGTGCCAGGCCAGGAGTTGGACTTGGTGATCCTGATGGGTCCCTCCCAACTCAGCATATTCTGTGATTCTAAATCACAGCTAATGCTGAGTATGGGAACACGGTTTTAATACTTAAGGAAAAGAAAAACAACATTCATACAACAAATAAGTAGTTATTTTGCATATATTCATTATCAAAAGTAATCATGTAACTACTCAACTGAAATCTCTCTTTTAAAGGGAATTACAATATGTCAGTACTTCTGGTGTGTGAAAGAGCTCAATCCCTTCCAGCTGGCTCAGCTGTAAAATCAGCAGCCCATAAAGCCATCCAGAGTTACAGATGCTCAAACATTCTGTTAACCAAAATCCAACCAGAGACGGCCCTGCCACAGAAGGAGCAGGAACATGTCAAATAACACGCCTACATTACAAATACAAGGAGAAAAAGTGGAAATTTGCTGGAAAATTTATCTTGGAACACAGTATAAACAATGTACCAACCAAGCCATAACTCAAGTCATCTCGGTTTTCATGAGCGATTTTGGCAATTGTTCTATATCCCCGCTGGAAGTTACTTGGAATGAACACTTGCCACTGCAGAGAACTGCAGCCGTCTGTAAACTCACTGAGCCATCCCACAGGTCCAGAATTCACTTGGAACCGCTGCCCTCTGCTCCTTCAGAGGGTGGGTAACAGATTTTAGGACTCCTCCTTGTGTTTTTTCCATTTCATATAAGATCGCTATCTGTGTTTATTTAGAAGGTAAGAACTTCATTAATTTGCTTTGTACTCCAAGTGTCCAGCAGCTGCTTTGAAATACAGTCCAGTCTCCCACCTGAATTCCATCATCCACTGTGGAAATTGCCAACAACCCTGCACCTGCACCTCAATCCACTTGTTAGGGTTGAAATTTAACTTTTCCTCTGGAAGAGAATGAGTTGCCTGAAAAGGGAACTGTGACCAGGCCCAGTGCAGGGGGTCCTTGCCATGTTCTGGTGCTGCTTTCTAGGAACTACTAGAGAGGGTTTTCTACCCCTCTCTACTCTGTTCTGATGGATCACTCTCACATACAGACAGACACAAACAGGAATTGACCCAAACCTATTTTGTTTTTCCTGATCTTTGGGTAAAAGAGGTGTTAGCTGCAAGTTTGGGGATTAATCAAAGACAACCAAGTATTTCAGCATGTAAACCACTATTTACAGTTTTCACAACGTGAGAGAACTAATCAAAGGTCCCTCACAGAAGCCTAACAACATAATGTGACAATTTGTGGTTTTGTTTGAGAAATTCTTTGTTTTAGAAGCAGTTAAAGGCTGATGATGGCAAGCAGCAACAATTACAGTTTAAAAAAAAAAAAAAACCAAGTTTGCAATGATCCATAGCAAGGATAATGGAATACATGATTTATAATTATCTTCATGGAAGTAGTACCTTTATTTTTTCACTAAAATGAGGTAACACAAGGAATTATAAATATTAAAGACTGACAGCTCTAGCAATGTTTCTTCCTAAATAATCTAAATTTCCTGAAGTGCTTTGCTCAGACTCTGAAAACATAATTAGCATGAGAGCATACACAAAGTGATGTCGTTTTCTCTTTAGCACTTTTTCTGTCCTGGCTGATCAATATGCCAGGATTCAGTGGCCTGCTTAATTCAGAGTTGCAGCTACCAGGAACAGAAAGCCTTTGGTCCAGTTTGACAGAGCACTCAAACCTCTGCTCTTGCTAGAAGGTTACCATGGATCATCGAAAATATTTATGCAGACCTGAAAAGGAATAATCATGAAGTCACCCAAAAATACAGAGCAATTTAAGGCAGGCTGGCCTGCTTGGCTATGCTGGCTCACTGGTACCAGGTTGCTCTACTCCTGCACAGCTCCCTATGGGACAGTTTAACTCTGTCACAGAACAGTTTAATTTCATAAATTTGTAATTTGAAACTATGAGGACAGAATTTAGCTAATCGTTGGCACAAAGAACAAGTAACAAAATGTGCTGTGTCAATGTATTTCATTAGTAACGCTGACTTCTATCAGCATCTTGACTCACCACATTATCTACAGTGTTAAAGAGCACTTTGTTTTGTAGATAACCCAGTTAGCAGTTAAAATACAAATAATTTCAGACTGCTGAGATACATTTATCTCAATACACATACGCAGTTCGTGATGCAGTACACAGTCACACATACAGAGGTGCCCGTGTAAGACCCTCGCAGGATGTTATCAGCTCTAAAGCTGTCTCCCCGCAGCAAGGATGAAAAACCGTAGCCCTGAGCCTTGGCCTGTGCCTACGGAAACAAACCACAGCCCAGCTCAGAGCTGAAAATAAAAAGCCAGAGAGGCAAGTCAGCTGCACTTCCTGGACGGCAGCGGCACCTCTGTGTCTGTGTGTGTGTCTGTGTGTCTGTGTCTGTGCCTGTGTCTGTGTGTGTGTGTGTGTGTCTGTGTCTGTGTGTGTCTGTGTGTCTGTGTGTCTGTGTGTGTCTGTGTCTGTGTGTGTGTGTCTGTGTGTGTGTGTGTGTCTGTGTGTCTGTCTGTGTGTGTCTGTGTCTGTGTGTCTGTGTGTGTGTCTGTGTGTCTGTCTGTGTGTGTCTGTGTCTGTGTGTGTGTCTGTGTGTGTGTCTGTGTGTCTGTCTGTGTGTGTCTGTGTCTGTGTGTGTGTGTGTGTGTGTCTGTGTCTGTGTGTGTCTGTCTCTGTGTGTGTGTCTGTGTCTGTGTGTCTGTGTGTGAGTCACTGCAAAACGCGTGCACAGGAACAGCCCAGCACAGGGACACCGCGGTGCAAGATCCGCCCCTGCAGCAGGGATGCGGAGGGATGGCGAGGGATCCCGGCACGGGCAGGTCCGCAGGGGGTCATTCGTCGGCACCGAGAGAGCCGCCACCCGTCTGCCCCACCCGGCGGGCTGTGCCGCTCGCACCGCGGCCCGCGCAGAGACAGCTCCCGGGGGGCGGCCGCGCCCCCGGCCCGCGTGTGTCCCGGGCACAGCCCAGCCCTGGGAGGTGCAGGGGCAAGGGCAGGGGGGTGCTGGGGCGGTGCTGGGGCAGGGACAGGGGCGGTGCCGGGGCAGGGACAGGGGTGTGCTGGGGCGGTGCTGGGGCGGTGTTGGGGCAGTGCTGGGGCAGGGGCCGGGGCGGTGCCGGGGCAGGGGCAGGGGTGTGCGGGGCGGTGCTGGGGCGGTGCCGGGGTGCAGGGGCGGTGCTGGGAGGTGCTGGGGCGGTGCCGGGGTTGCAGGGGGCGGTGCTGGGGCAGGGGCAGGGGAGTGCTGAGGCGGTGCTGGGCGGTGCTGGGGCGGTGCCGGGGGTTCGGGGCGGTGCTGGGGCGGTGCTGGGGCGGTGCCGGGGGTTCGGGGCGGTGCTGGGGGCGGTGCCGGGGAGGCGGTGCTGGGAGGTGCTGGGGGCGGTGCCGGGGGTTCGGGGCAGGGCAGGGGCGGTGCCGGAGGTAGTGCTGGGAGATGCTGGGGCGGTGCCGGGGGTTCGGGGCAGGTGCTGGGGCGGTGCCGGGGAGGTGATGCTGGGAGATGCTGGGGCGGTGCCGGGGTTCAGGGCGGTGCCGGGGGGTTCGGGGAGGTGCTGGGGCGGTGCCGGGGTTCGGGGCGGTGCTGGGGGCGGTGCCGGGGTTCGGGGCGGTGCTGGGGCGGTGCCGGGGGGGCGGGGCGGGGCGGGGCAGGGGCGGTCCCGCTCGGCCCGGGCGGCGGGCACTGCGCAGAGCTGAGCCGAGCGGGGCCGAGCCGAGCCGGCTCTCTGGGCCGCGGGCGGAGGCCGGAGCGCGCCCGCCATGCCCGGGCTGCCCGCGCTGGGCGCCGGCCCCGACACCGAGGAGAGCTACGACTTCCTCTTCAAGCTGGTGCTGATCGGGGACGCCAGCGTGGGCAAGACCTGCCTGGTGCAGCGCTTCAAGACCGGGGCCTTCGCCGAGCGCCAGGGCAGCACCATCGGCGTGGACTTCACCATGAAGAGCCTGGAGATCCAGGGCAAGCGGGTGAAGGTGAGCGCGGCCGGGCCCGGCACAGAGCGAGCCCCGCGGAGCCCCGGGCGCCGCTGCCCAGCTCCCCGCGGGCCGGGCGCGTCCAGCCGCGGGCTGCTCACCAGCCGAGGGACGCTGGGCTGGGCTGGCGCCTTTCCAGCAAGGGATGGGGAACGGGCAGATCGAGAGAAGCTGGGGGAGACGTTGTTAAATTAGGCAGGTTTAAAAGTTATCTTAAGACGTTGTTTACAGCGTCACAGGAAGTACGGTTTTTCCAGTTCTTCGCAAACCAGAACGAGTGAACCCTAAATCTGACATATCTGCTTTTCTTATGCTGGTTGTTGGGTTAGAAAGAGGGTAGGACCTGTACCCAGTGGATCTGTCCTCAGATTGCTAGTGGCACAGATTCCCGATAACAGACTGGGCCTCTGAGCACGGAAGTGTGAGCAAACAGTGGGGAGAAGAGGATTAAAGCACCTGTGGTTTGTAGGGGGCTGCTGGGATAAATCCCTTCACCAGCCCCTCCAGAATGGAGTCATACAACTGTACTTCCTCACCCACTAAAAAGCACTTCAGGCACTCACTGCCTGGAAAAGATCATGGAATTGTTAAGTTTCTGGTGGCACTGAAATACAGTAATTGCACTTGAATTTTGGCTTGTGTTTACAAAAGTAAGTGTCAAAGTCCTCTATTACCTTTGTACTGTAAATTAATTTACCGATCAGAATATGAAGCAGAGAAAGTAGTGGAAAATGGAAGAAATGAAGGCTCACATTTTTTAGGAAAATAGGGGGATTAGAAGTTCCACACCCAGCAAAGGTGTTTATATTCCTGGTAGTATGACACCTTTTCCTGTCATGTCTGGCTGGGGCTAGGGAGCTGAAAAGGAAACTCAGCTTTTCTGTTTGTGATGTCAGTGCCTCTCCTGCACTTTCCAGTGAGCTGGTACGAGTGGGGGTTCTCCTTTAAGGCTCTCCTTTAACCTGGCTCCATTTAAATGCCAGGCACATAAAAAGTGACAAATGTGTCTGTTCCTCCTGCCAGGGGTCTCAGCCAGGGACTACAGGAGCAGGGAAGGACTAGCCCAGGAAATAAGCTAAAGTTCCTAGGTGTGCTTTTTTCACTGTCAGTACTTAACACCTGAATATTCCTGTATTAGGAGTCAGTCTGTAGGAAAATCTGCAGGTTATCTCCAAGTATTTTACAAAAACCAAGTAAGAAAATGCAAGGTTTTGTGGCTTTTTCTTTGGATTGTTCGGTACTTCAACTTAGAAAAAAAATATAGGGATGCACAGATTGAAGAGTATATTGAGCAATACTTTAGACAAATTAATCCAACATTGTTGCTGATTTATCTTACAGACATTTTTGTCAGCTGCTGAGTCAGGCATACAATTAGAAAATGAAAACATTTGCTTAGAGGGTTTTTTTGGTTTGGTCTGTTAGGGCGTGAAGCTGAAGTTTGGCTTTTGCAGTTGGACTGAGATTTCAGAGCAGTCCATCTGACTGGGTGGGTTTGCTCAGCATGCTGTTGGAAACAGGAAACAAGGAGGCATTTTATGACATTTGATGAGCTCCCTGACGAAGCAGGCGGGTGGGGAGTGTTGCAGGCTGTAGGTCTGGCCGTGCTGCAGGTCGGGGTGACTGCAGCAGGAGCAACTTCAGCTCCCTGCACAGGTCCTTCCCGGCCCCTTAGTAAACAAGCCTGTCCATGTACTGGGTGAGAGATGCGCTGTGGTTCTCATTCCTCTGCCTCAGGCACCCGAGACACACTGGTTTAAAAGGGTTTTACATAAGCTGATGATTGGGATGCCTCAAATCAAGAGATGTTGAGGACGTGTTTAAATAAGTTTGACCTTAGAGAAAGGTCCCTACAGAAGCGTGCAGGGGATTCTGTGCTGCTCCAGTATCATGAGGAATTTATGCTGCTCGAGACAGGACCTTCATAAGGAATGCAGAACTTGTTTGCAGTTTAGCAGATGCTGCAGGAATAAGAAAATCCCCGTTTATAGAAGCTCATCCGTAGTAGTCCCTTCAGAACAAGAGTGTCTACAAAAAGAGTCCCAAGGAGGTTTGGAACTACTTGCTCCGCATCCCCAGTGGCCCAAGGTTCATTTTCAGTCAGGCTAAGGATAGTATTACAACCCAACAACACTTACTTTGAGATTGAAACAAACATTTTAAGGTTAATTGTGTCAGCGCTCCCTTCTGCTTCAGATGTTCCCTTTACAGTTACATAATGTTTCTGAAACGTTTGGAGCCCAAGGATTTTAAGTCTCCCTTGCTTTTGATGCATTTTGTTGGCTGAGGGAGAAGATGCATGTTGGGATACAGAGGGTTATGGTTCTGCAAATAACTTTTTTTATTGTTTATAACGGGCCTGGCTGCTGTGAGCTCCTGGAGGTGTCAGGCTGAAAGGCCCCGTGGCACAGAGCCAGGCGGGGATTTGGCACGGGTAGCACACGAATGGGACTTCACAGCCAAGGCTACCCGTGCTCACCACTGGAGTTCTGTACACAGGCAAAATCTGACCAGCACATATCCAGAATTTCCCCACCAGCTCTGTGAAATGTCTGCAGTCTATATTCTTTTAGAAATATGCTCTGCTTTGTGCTGTCTAACTGCTTGACATTGTGGCATAGTGCTCTCTCTAAAAGCCATCCTTAGCTGGCTAAATCCTAGAGTACAGGCTGGAGTTCCCAAAAGTTGGTCTTGTTAATCACTTAAAAGTGTTTAAAAGTTGTGTTAATCACTTAATGCACAGTGATTAAAGTCCTATTGATAAAATAATTACTTGACTGATAGAATCTGGCAAACAGAACAAATATGTTTTGTAACTGTTATGTCACTGAAAGAAAAGATATTTATAAAATGCTGGGATCAAGATTTTACATAATGATAGGCAAGGACATTCCTAAGTCCAAGTCCATAAATCATGGTTAGTAATAACAAAATTCCTTTTCTTTTAATGAATTACCTCCTGTGAACTGATAAATTAATTATCTTTAATGTCTACTTTATGCAGTAGTATTTTACATAAACTGAATATTTTTGTTCTCCATGCTGTAGTTTTTCTCTCCCAGTATGTGTTTCAGAAAGTGGCAGGAGAGAAGAACAGTTGAAAACACATTCCTTTTATAGCAAATACTTCATGTGTCATTGCACTTTTAAATTTCCAAGCTTTTCCAGCCCATATGTTATCAAGATTATTGGCTTTTATTCAGGCCTCATGGCTGTAGACTATATTCCTTTCAGAATGGGCCAAAATGTAATGTGTCATTATCTGGCCAAACTGCAAGTAATACAAAGTTATGACTTGTTAACTGTCTTGTCCCCTGACTGTTGATTTAATAATGCTGCTAAACAAATAGAGGCAGAGCAATTGGTTATTACCTGGAAGCAATATTATTTGATATCCAGAGGAAGTGTAGCTCTCTGTCAGCTACTTGCACACATCCAGGTGTGGAGGAAATGGAAATACTGCATGCCCAACAAACGAGGCTTCCTCATTCTCTGAAAACTGTGTAGGGAAACAGTTGAATGGAGCAGTTCATCCTGACTGTGCATGAATATCACTTTAAATTGAAATACACTGCCATAGAGGTGTTGCTTTTGGCAAAAACTGCATAGACGAAGTTGCAAGACTTCCAGTAAGTGTTTTTAGGAGCAAGTGTTGTGATTTGCCAGCCTACAGAAACGTATATTATTGTTTGCCATTTGAGATGACAGGATTCAGACTCGGTCAGGTGGTTTAGATTCTTTTAGCACAGACTTTGTGTACACTATTTCACTGCTGGGAAATCTTATGGAATTTGCTATATTGTCACAAAAGTGACATTTCTGTTCTTGTAAAGAAGGTATCAGCTGTAGGATGTACTTATTTATTACTTATGCTGCTTCAGAAGCAAAAGTAGAACTGAACTCCTGTGATACTTTGGAAGAATCAGGAGAGTACTTAATAAATTATGTAGGAAGTGAGGGAGGGAGAAATTATTTAATGTGTCCTGAGGCCATCTGTTAAGCATTAACCTTTGATAAACAGTATGTTCATCAATGCAAGAAGAACCCACATGACCCGTGGGATAGTGCTTGTTTAGGATGCTCTTTGGTCAGCCTGTCACTCATCATTTTCAACACTCTGTTCCTATAGTGCTTTCTGTAGGCCTAACCAGACATCCCAGAATGATCTTCCAGAGACCCACCATAAACTGTGCCACCTGTTTTCCTCAGTGCATGCAGCTGAAACATCCTTGTTCCAGTTTTTCTCTCCTGTGCCACCCTGAAGGGCCTGGCCCTGTGTGCGTGGTCCCTACCCGTGTCCTGGACAGCAGCTCCCGGGTGTGTCCATGCCTGCTGTGCCCACAGCTCGGGATGCTGCCAGGAATGCTGGCTCCTGTCAGCTGTCTGCAGGGATCCCCGGGGCCTCTGCAGCACAGCTGCTCCCAGCCACTCGCTGCACCCCTGGGAGGGGGGAGTGACAAACACTCCCTGAGGATCCTCCACAACAGGAAAAGATGAGAAAGCAAATAGAACAAGACTGTCAAGACTTTGTCTGATGTACTTATGGGCATTATATATATTATATATGGGAGTCATGAGAAGTCTTACAGGAGATAATAGTTCAGCACTGTGCTCTTCAGTACCAGCCAGTGCTAAGGGCTCTGCTGTCCAAAAAATTCAAATCTCAAAGCAGATCAAAATAACCAGCTTTTGTAAGTAAATGTGTGTGGAATAGTGAAACAATTAGCACAAGAAAGGTGGCTCCTTGTCTTTGTTTCCTTGGAGTATCGTGTCATACTCCTTCTGAACAATGGGTATTTATTCCCTGGTTTTTATCCTGTCCTCATTTGTTACTGCTGGTGGTCCCCTTGAAGGCCTGGCACCGATCTTTTGTCTCATAGGTGTTTTTTCTTACTATCCTCAGATGAATTCAACACAGTTCTCCAGCAATCCCAACTTATCTTTCTCACACCAAAATTGTTGTGAAAGTAATGACAAAATCAAGAATTGCTTCAAAAGGTTACTGAGTGACATATGTGGCTTCCATTATGTTATTTACAAAGCTGAAGCACTTAAATCCAGGAAATAAATAATTAAGGACTTTGGGTCCTTGCATATTCATATCCTAATACAGTAAAATCCATGACCACATCTTTTTTGGTAGCCTGTGGCTAGTATATTTCCTTTGGTATTTGATGTTAACATTTGAACATTTAACTTATACTGAGGGACTTTTGAATGAGAAATACTCTTTTTTCCCAGGAATTTGTAATTGTTATTCTTGTCAAGAGTTAAATGCTTGTAAATATAGTGTACAGAAAGACTATATAAAATTTTTACTACTAAATGGCTGGTTTAAATTATAGTTGTGATTGGTATTTACACAGAGTTGTCATGTTTCTTTTTCAATAAAATTTGAAAGGTGTCTCTGTACACCTGCTGGAGAAAATAGTGTTTAATTAGGATCAGAACTGGTATTTTTGTAATTACTTAAATTGTATCTTTTTAATCATGTATTAGATTGCTCGATGCTATATGGAAGTATTTTTCAGGGAGTTTCCAAAGATGCTGTCAATCAAACTAGCTATATTTTGCCCTTCGAAATACAACTTGCTTTAAATTAACTCATCTGGTTCTTAGCACTTGCTGTGTCTGCAGTGTGTATTCTTGATGATTTAAAAGAAGACAGTTACTCAAACTTCAAGCAGTGTGACAGGGCAGGTTTTCAAGCTTCCAAATTGTGGGAAGCCCCTGCTGACAGTGTTGCCTTGGCTTGGCTCAAACCAGTGGTTCCAGTGTGCCCCGAAACAGGGAGCACTGCCCTGGCTCCTTCTGCCCCCAGGGGTGATGGAACAGGACAGACACCGTGCCAGCTGCTGGGCATGTCTGCAAACGAGGATCTGATACCTCCTGGAGCCTCAGCTAGGAGAGCAAAGCCCCCAGACTGCAGATCATGTGAAAAGCTCCACGATTCAGAATCCTTGCACAAGAGGAGCACGAAGTTCAAGTGCCTGAGCTTACCTGGAGGATGTGGGCTGGGAGGAAAGGTGCTCTTGTTTGCTCTTGGGTGCTGTTTGAGCTCCTGAGAAGGTCAAAATTGTGCTCTCTGCTGTTCCCAGCAGGACTCTGGAGGCTTCAGCAACTTTGTACATTTAGTCCTGTGAACACAGACACAAATGTTTGGGTTAAACACGTAGGGGAGTGCTGGGAGATCTTGCTGGTGACATTTTGAGGTTGTTCTATTCACTACAGTAGAAATTGGGAAGGACCGGAGAAAGACAAATGTTGTACTCATCTTCAGAAAGGGCAAGAAATCCTGGGATGGCTGGTCAGATTCATTTTGGTCCCTGGGAAAATCATGGAGCAATTCTGTCTGGAAGAGCTAAGTTTTGACCCCACTTAAAAGCAGTTGGCTTTGTCACCTCCCAAAATGTGTTCCAACCCTAATGATTCTGTAATTCTTATGGAATGTACTTATACAGAGGTTTTCAAAATCCAGCATACAGCACGTGGCCCAGGACTGGCTTGCTGAGTCACTCTGCACTTTCATTTACACCATGTGAAAAGTGTGAGCTAAAACCATTTTATTTTTGAATTTCAAAAGTTTCTAATTTGTCTGTATGCACAGAATCACTCAGACCTCTCCCAGGAGTTGAGTAATCCTCATTAGGCTTGTTTTGCACTTGAGCTAATCAAGTATTGAGATTTAAAACTGTGTAACAGACAAAGGTCTAGTGGGGAGACTTGAGGGCAGAGATGATACAGAACCCTGTCCTGAACTTCCCTGTCTCCAGTAATTGCTGCTAACTGCTCTGAATCGTTATCTGTTCCATTAATAATCATTACTTTGTGGTTTTCTGAGTCCATTACAGTCCCTTCCCCTTCTCTGAGAAAACTCTTACCAGAACTGAGAAGTCCTTTTCCATTGGATTGATTCCTTTTAAGCTGTACATAAATCATTTGGGATCTAAATGCTTGGTTGGCACAGGAAATGAGATCTCATCAGGAGATGAGATCTTTTCCAAAGGGAAAGTTACTGCTCAAAAATGCAGGAGTCAGAAGACAGAAAGAAAATGATATTGTGCAAAATAAATAAATAAAAAAATGATTCCCTATTATTTGGTGTAAAATATCGTTGACACATTATATTAACTTGTGTCAGCTCTTTGAAATAAGGAGGTTCAGAGAGAGAGGAAACATTAAAAACCCCAGAAGTATTTGCTTATGCTCTGTCTCATAAGAAGAATGCAGAGCATAAGGAATGGCACAGAAAGACAAGCAGTGGTCTCATTTCTCATCTGGGGATAGAGAAGTGAAAGTGCAACAGAGGGACTGAAAATACAACATTTATAAAAGGAAATTCTTTGGTTTCATTGCTACTATATGTTGAAGCCAAGAGCTTTGAAAGATTCAAAAAAGGTTAGAGATTTCTATGGAGAATGAGAACATCCACAGTTACTTCAGATTAAAAGGTCCTGGAATATAAACCATCATATTCCAGGCCATTAGACAACCTATAAAACAAGAGGATTTAGAAAGAAATTTTCCCAATGAGCAGGATGTTGTGTTTGTCCACTCTGAGTTATTTGGCTTCTTCCTCTGGAACATCTAGTACTGGGAACTCAAACCCTGATCCTAAACTCATAATTCTTATGCTGCTGGATTTGGGCAAAAGTGTGTAAGCCAAGCATTTCTTCTTGCTGCCCTGATGGAATGTGTGTTCTACCCCTGGAAAAGGACAGGTGAGCAGCCTGACTCGATCTTTGACCTTACTGAACCCTAGAACTGCTGGCATTTTGTTTATACCCTTTTATCTCTATTCTTTGAATGGTCTCATATTTCATTCTAAAGCAGCATCAGTGCTCTCAGGTGATGTGACCACATCCTGCTCCAGTCGTTCCAGGAGCAGAACTGGCAATCCCACAGCAGTGCCACAGATGATATTCCAGTGAAAAACCACCTGTAGTTTCAGTGACACACCAGATCAACTGGAGAGGCTTTGCTATGGGGAAACATCTTGTTCTGCTGACTGTGCTAGAGGAGGTGACAAAGGGCTAGGGCTGGACACACACGAGATAATGTGATAATTTCCACAGAAGCAGCTGACTGCAGAAACACCGTGTGTCCCAGGTGATACAGATAGAACCTTTTAGCAGCGAAGTTCTCAGCATACATTACATACATTATGTTTAGATCAGGGTTCTCAAGCATGTATTGTTACCATCCTTCAGTCCTGAACGAAGCCTAGAGAAAGGTGGTGCCAGAGTGCGTTATTTGCAGAGGAGAGTGATGTGGGTGCTGTCCCTGGGCCAGCAGAGCTGGCTGGCCCGTGTCTCACTGTCCCTGTCTCTTGCAGCTGCAGATCTGGGACACGGCCGGCCAGGAGAGGTTCCGCACCATCACGCAGAGTTACTATCGCAGCGCCAACGGGGCCATCCTGGCCTACGACATCAGCAAGAGGGGCTCCTTCCTGTCCATCCCTCGCTGGATCGAGGATGTCAGGAAGTACGCCGGCTCCAACATAGTGCAGTTACTGATTGGTGAGTTCCAACATCGACACAGCACCACAGGCTACTGCAAAATGGCATTATTTGCAATACTTGTTTAAGGTGGTCACAAGTTTTATCTCTGGTTGAAGTTAAGATGCATCAATAGATCTGATTGGAAATTTGACCCATTTTTTTTTTAATTAGAAAGCACTGATTCATCCAAACAGAAATGTTTTGCTTTGATTAACTTCTGTTAAGAAGTTTTGAAGCCTTTGAATCCTTTGCATCTCCCTTGGTGGAGAACTGAGTGCCCAAGATTTCCAGGTTCTGAGGCACAGCTGCTGTGGAGATGTTCTCATGATAAAGATCCCAAGGTTTTCACGGCCCAGAGAAGCTCCATCACAGCAAGCACTGGAACACCCCCACGCTTCAGCAGACAGGGGATTTTGGAAGGCCTTTGGGGCAGTCAGGGTGTGTCAGTTCTCTGCTGCAAGTTCTGCTTCCCAGCCCCAGTGTTTGGACTCAGACGTGGCTCTCGGGGCCAGGTCCGTTAGACCTGCTGATGGAACAGCAGTTCTGTTCTGACTTCCCTAGGGCCCAGCAGACAGCTGCTGCTTTCACAAGGTGGTTTCAGCTTTCATTTCTAGCCCACTTTAGTTTTATTAAGGTCTACAGCCACCACTGTTCCGTTCCTTTTTCTGTCCTATGGGTCACACAGAAATACAGGTTGGAAGGGCTTAGGAGGTTATACAGCCCCAACCTCCTGCTCTGAATGAGGCCAATGCAGATTGGTCAGGGCCTTCTCAGTCAAATTTTGAAAACCCCTGTGACTGGAAATCCTGCAACTTCCCTGGCACCCAGAGAACCTCCAGCTACACTCTTCCTGTGGCAGAAGCAGTGATTATAAATTACTGTGCTGTTTCCTTCTCCTCCAGGGAACAAGTCTGACCTAAGTGACCTTCGGGAGGTTGGGCTGGAAGAGGCCCAGAGCCTGGCTGACCACTATGACAACATCATCTGTGCCATCGAGACCTCTGCCAAGGACTCCAGCAACGTGGAGGAGGCCTTTGTGAAGATGGCCACGGAGCTCATGCTGAGGCACGGCGGGCCCATGTTCAGCGAGAAGAACACTGACAGCATCAAGCTGGACAGCAAAGACGTTGTGGAAGGCTGGGGGTGTGGCTGCTGATAAGAGCTAGGTGATATCCCTGACCTTACTGGAATTTAGATGGTGCTTCACCCTAATGCTGAGTAGCATGGTAGCCATACTCTCCTCCTCCTGTGAAACCAGCAATTTTGTAGAAGTTAGACACAATCCTGTTAGCTTTGGTGTCTTATTTTTAAAAAGGGACTTTTGAGAGGTAGTCCTGAAAGTCAAACCCTCTGAAAAACTTCATTAACATTTGTCCCCACCGTTTTATTTCCCGTAACCTTCATACGAGTTACAAAAATGGCAGGAACAACTTTGAAGTGGTGATGAGGGGTGGGGAGACAGGTGGCTGGGGAAGAGGCATGCAAAGCCAAAGCTGTGAAACATTTCACACGGGACTGTTGGCAAAGGACGTCCCTTTTGGAAAAGGCAACCTTGACAGTGTCTCTTGAAATCCTCAGCACTCCACTAGTGACCAAAAAGTCTTTGACAAAGGTATTTCAAGTGTCATAATCCCCAGCATTGTGATTACAGGACCAAATAGCAGGTACCTGTCCTAGGGCATAGACTGCTAGTTGCTGTGGAACAGGCCCAGGTGGGGAAGCCTTCTCTCAGGTTTTGTGATGATTTTAAGTTATCATTTTAACAGAAGCAAAATCGGCCCGAGCAATATCACAACTTACAGTCGAGCAGGATTGGAAAGATTGGATCACGGTAGTTATTTCAATACAGCCTGGCGGAGAGGGTAGATGCATTTCATTTGTTATTGTTTGCACAGTGATAACTCCTTTTTCCTAGTGGGTATCACTGAGGTTTTGCCCTCAGGTCTCATCATTTCATTTCACAGTTCAAGACTTGCACCCTGGAAACAGGAACTGGAGAAGCCTTGAGCTGACTGTAGCCACGACCTCTTGCCATGTGCCTAATGGTCATTTACAGGGTTAATTCTGGTCATACATTTGACATTGTGTTACCAGAGTGCTCGTTGTTTAAGTGGCATAAGTGGATTTGGTTTTTGTATTGGTTTTGTTTTTTAAACCATCTCTTTAAATACCAGATGGGAAAGAATAGCTCAGAGTAGCTGTAAACTGCATGCATTGCAACTTCTTACCTGGAAGAAGCCAGCATCTTTTTGAGTGATTCCCTCCCAGCTTTGTACCCAAATGTTTCCCTATCAGAAGTTACCAGTTGCTTTTCATTTCATGAAAACATTCATCAGGAAAAATCTGTCATTGTTGATCAAAGTCTACATCATTAAGTAAAACTGATTTCATAATCCAGCTACACCCAGTTCTTTCAGATTTGGCTTTCAGTGGTAGGTGCAGCTGAAGTACTGATGGCAGCATCTCTGGGTTTACACTCAGGCACCTTCCAAAAAGGGAGCAGGAGGATTTTTAACTGCTGGTAAACAGAGGTGTTCAGGGATGGCAAGTGATTTTTGCAGTCCTGATTATATGAAGGAGCTCGTTTTCTGAAAGCACCTACTTCAAGTCATCATTTGTCTCTTTGGAAAAATCTAGATCAAAAAGGACTTGAATTGTTTTGCTACTAGGGCTGCACCAGTTTAGCCATTCAACATATCCAGTGTCATGAAAATGAGGAAGACTTAAGAAAGGGCTAATGGATACTAATTTTAATACTACTCATTTTCCTGTAGAAAATATTAAACCATTCTCTGGTCTGTTTTTTAAACTATGAGGTAGATAATTGAGGAGTAACGTATACTTTGTAGCCTATTTGCTTCTAATCTGAGGGGTTAGTTTTCAGGTTTTACAGTTGCAAGAGTAAAAGGGCCTTTTTCAATTGGCATAGTTTTCACAATTCTAATATTTTCTGTGGAAGAGCAGGCTGAGCTGCTGTCTTTGGTAGTATTTTTGGATAGTTTTCCAGGACATTCCCATCTCTCCTACATCCAAAGATAACAGGCAATAAATTGTCCAGCTAGGCACTGAAAATGAGAATTGTCCAAACTCTGGATTTGTTAGTGTACTCCCTATATCCTGCTCTCAGGAGAAACTATGAAGACAGTCCAAGCTAAAACTCAGTCCTGGTGAGTGCTCTTCCTCCTGGTTAGATGGTCCCCGAGATACAGAATACTCAGAAGCACCTGACTTTGTGTCATGACACATTACAGTTTACATGTGAGGGTCATAGTCCTGCAGTGCTGTGTGTGTGAACATGGACCCCCAGATAAGCTCAGCCTTCCACTGTTTGCAGGGTTAGTGCCAAATTATTTAATGCTGATATAAATTCACAGGCATTTAAGAACAGTGTTGCTGCTACTCAGACTGAAATCCATAGTTTACATAGTAACTCTTGGAGAACTGGAACAAGATGCAAAATGAACTGAAATCCTGCTTCCAGTGCAGTCAATGATTATCTATTTACAGCACATGAAGAGATGAGGAGTTACTGATCCATTTTGTTAGTTTGGAGGTTTGTTCAGTAAATAAGTGGAATTAGCCAAGGCATTACACTTCTCCTTACAGTTTGCCTGGACATTTCTCTTAAACAGCCCTTGAAGGTTGAGTCTCTGTCTGCAGGTTGGTCTGGTTCAGTCACAAAACGTGCAGTGCAGCAGCAGGGACTTGTTTGCTGTTTTCATTTTCCAGTGAAGGCACCGATTCTGATTAGTTTGCATTTTGCTATAGAAAACTAAGACTCTGGCTTGAAATCAGTTTTGTCTTTTAACTGCTGGCTCCTCTGTGTTGTAACAAGTGTAATACAAGTTTGCATGCCCTGCTGACCGAGCACAAGGGAACAAAGAACTGGACTGAAGGCCTGGTTTATTTTCACTTGGGGCAGCTCTGAGTGACGGTGCTCGGGCTGGGAGCAGTTCAGGTTTAGTTTGAGAACCAAACCTTTTCTCTGTCCACTGCAGTAGCACAGCAGTCACTACACTGAGAGCTTCTTGACCAACAGTAAGTGTAACCTGGAGCTTTGCACTGCCCTGCTGAAGACTTTCCTAGCCCTGTGACTCACACCCAGCTGTGTAATTCATTAGGAAGACAGTGCTGTTGGTTTAGCTCCACTAATCCTATTGAAACCAAAAGGGTACCTGGGAGAAGAGAGCAGCAATAAACCTGCGATTTACGGGTAAACGAGGTTCAGATCTTGGGTTACAAATGTGCACTGATGTACATCAAGTGAATAATTCAGCAGTGCATGTTCAGAGTTCACAGCACAAACATTTGCCAAGAAACCTGTTTACTGGCAGTTGAATATTAACAAAACTGTGGTGCAGTAATTGCTTTTAAGCAGATCTCCTTGGCTGACCATGTGTTTGCATTAGTATTTATCATTTATTTTTGGCAGTGCAAAAATATTACAAAAGCACAGAAGGAGACGTTGATCCCTGCCTTGTAACACTTGGGAGTGGAATGCAGAGGCAAATACTGAAATGAAATCATCAGCACAGTGGTTCCCAGGAACGGGGGCTTTGTTACCCTTTGTATTGATTTTGTTTTAAGCGAATTTCATCTCCAGTTACTCATCCAGTCCGTCATCACGGATGGAACTTGTACAAATATTTAGAGTTTTGTAAATACAAACCCAAATAAATGTCAGCCCAGAAACCTGCTAATATTGGCTTTGCAAAACAAAATTTGAAAAAAAAAATGAAAATACTTAAGATCAGAGGAAATGTCCTAATGATTTTATCCCTCTCACTGGACTGGAAAGCAGGTGATTTTGGGAGGTAACACTGCATACTAAATGAAGCCCAGATTTCCAAGAACTTCACCAAATGTGGAGCTCTTGCTCATTTTCTTTCTTTGCCTTTAAAAATTCCACTGATTTGAAGAACAGTCCCAGCCAGGGGACCACCTGAATGCTTTTTGCTGTCTCCCACCAGTGCTGAGGGGATTGGGAAGTAATAAGATCATTAGTTTCTCTTTGTGGGATTGCTTTACTCAATGGCACAGTGAAAGTCTCTTTAAATCCAGAGGAATGAATATGTTACTTCCTCAGTAGAAATGGTTTCTCTTTACCTATCCTGCTGCCAAAACATTTATATATTAACAGACCACTGAAGTTTACCCTATTATTGTGGACAAACAGTTTGCTGGAGGAAAATGAAGTGAGAACAATACATGCTTTGTGAACCTGAAAAATAAAGTTCCTCTCCCTCAGGTACCTTCCAGCCATGGGGTTGGCTCAGTTTAACCCCTGTCAGGCATTCTCACAGAACGGTGGTTCTTGGAACTGAGTGCAGATGAATCCCAGAGTCTGGGCTAATCACCCTAACCACTTCATTGTCCTTGCTCAAATGATACTAGGTTGTTTTATCAAATGAAAGGCATTCGTGTATTTACAAATCAGGCAGTAAAAGATGCCAGGTTGTTAATGTAGATTAGTAGTTACATTTTATTAGTTATGTGAAGTATAGTGACTTGATAATGGGGCTGTTCTTAGGTTTGACAGTTCTTTTCCATGCTGTAAGAAGGGATTCATAGATTTGGGAAATGCTGTCTGTTTGACTTTTGTACTGTCTGGAGTAGTGCTGACCATCCCACTGTGATTTTAGTTAGAGAAGCAGCCTCCTGGGTATCTTGGTTTTTAGTGGCCAGGTAATGTTTGATTATTGAACTGGGTTATAGAGGAAAAAATCTCAGATGGAAGCATTTCCTTGCAATCTCCACTGCATGCTGTAGGAAAAACAACTATTCCACAGCTAGGTGTTCTGTGTTTGGTTTACTTGGAAAAGAGCAGGCTTACAAAATCAAACCAACCCAAATATATAGTTGCTCTCCATGGAATTATTGCCAGAAGCTAGATGAAAATACCTAGGATACTCTCCTGTCCTGATCTTAGTATGACAAATTTCATCATTTTTGGGGGTGACTGAAATATGTTAAAATGCACTTTAAAAATAATCCTTTGAAGCATAAAAGGGTTGCAGGGTTTTTTTTTTCACTGTGTCTTTTTTAACAAGGGTTTCTGTGACTTGAATGCTGATAAAGGCAGTTCCCTGTATTACATAGGGAATACATACATTGAGGCACTGCTGAAGACAGACTGTCAACAGTGTCTTGTTTTTCCATGTGAGTCAGTGGCCATGGAAGACCAGGGAACAGGAGAACTTCACAAGAATGAGGAAAGTGAAGGCTGAGTAACAGGCAGGGAAGGTTTCCTGTTTAGGCTGATGAACTGTGTTAGTGTAATCAGTGCTCACTCCATTCCAAGGAGGTACTTTCCCTCCCACAGGTAAAACAGAGCACGGCTCAAGGAGTTACAGGTTTTCCTCTTTGCTTTTTGTACCACACAAAAGTGTCTGCCTTCTGTCCTGAAGAAGAGTGGTCTGCTGAGAACTAGTTAAGTGTATGGTAACAACACAGTTTAACATTTGGAGAGCTGTTAAATTGGCTTACAGTTGTATTTAGGACCTAGGCCTTCCATTATGAGGTTAAAAAATGTCTCTCTTCCCTAGGAGACCATTTGAAAACCTTTAGAAGATCCAGGATTGTACCTTCATAGAAATTTCTTGAGGCTTTCTTTATCATTAAAAAGTCCCTTTTCATGTTTCTTTTGGAGGACATTTGTAGAATTTGGTTATTTCCAATTTTATTATCCAACCAAACTGCTGACACTCATTGTACTTATTCTGAACCTCAAATTTAATGGAATAATGAGGATTAACCTTCCTGCCATGAAGCATTTAAGCTTTCATAAGAACATGTGAAACACCTTAGCATGAACTGCTCTGTAGAAATTTAAACCTCAGTTTCCCCCTAGAGCTACATAAAAAAGATCCACATTGATGTAAATGTTATCTTAGAGACCAAAATTGTGGCAAGCTGGCAGTTTTAACTTCTAATTGTTCAATCAATAAAAAGAGGTTATGGCACAGAGGTTATCTTCTCCAGATAAAAGCAGAGGAGAACTTTGACTGTACTTCCTTAGAAAGTGTCCTTTTTAAGGCTCCTGCCTCACGTCATCTGTGTATCTCCAAAAGCCAGTCTCCTACTCACCTCCTTTACACTGCACTGGCATGTGGAAATGGGATGATCAACACCCTTTCCTTCTGTCAGTTCTGTGAGCAATGTGGATTCCTCTGCAGATGTGAGGGAGGGATTTGGGGTACCTGCACGATCGTAGGTGAAAACAAGGGTATGGAAGGCTGTCCTCTGAACACGGCATGCAAACTTGTCTTGACAACTTGGAAGCATTTTTTAAAAGTGAGCCAAGAGCTGCATTTTCAGAGACATTAAAGCTGCAGACAGATGCCTGTCAATGTTCAAAAGCATCTCGGTAACACTGCAGTAAGAGCATAAAACTTGTATGGAAGTGGTTTTGCACTAAAGGGAATCTGAGAAAAGAAAACATTAATGTGAAAGGCAGAGCATTCTGATTATTCTGCATTTTTCATGTTCATTCCCTAAATGCTGTGCATAAGGAAGCTTTTTTTCCCCCTTTATAAGTGATATTAAAATAGATTATTCTAGGTGTGAAAAGTAGTTTGATACTTGACAAAATAAAATGCTATATATGTTTTCTTGAGAGAGTGATTAATATTGCTGAGGAGAAGAACTTTGCAGATAGGGTTTGGTGGTGTAGGATCAGGGATTCCCCAAAGCTGTGTGACACACAAACGGTGTGACACACACCTACCATTCCCAAAGCTGGGGAGGCCAAGGGAGGAGACCAGCCCCTGTCCTGCCTGCCAGACATAGATACAGACATCTACTGAGCAGGAAGTGAATTTAGTTATTTCTAAAAGTGTTTTTAAAGCTTTCTATTTTTTAAGTCTGTAAGGAGAAAGGATTTCTGACACTCAGATATGCTCAGTGCTGTCAACCAGCTTTTCCCTCTTCTGTGCCTCACTCGGCGACCTGACAGGTCCAAAGCCCCCAACTCCAGACAGGGAGCATTCCAGCCAGGCTGGCTCACACACCTGTTGGGGAGAAGGTGAAAATCTCTAATTCATATTGAATTCATTCACTGCATTCCAAAATTATCTGAAGGGTTTGGATGAGAACAGTGTTAAAATGATTCTGCATTTTCTAGCACAAATGTGTTGCTGTTTTTCAAGGTTCCTTCAAGAGATGCAGGCTGTACATTTCTAATCATCAGTAACTGTTTTGCTTTGAAACTTTCTTATCACAATACTGTCTAGATCATTTGGAATACGAGGAGACAAAGGAGCAAGCTTGCATACTACGGTAATTTTTTATACTTTACGTTCATCTATTTATGAATTTATTATGAAAAGTATTTTTAAACATATGAAAAACCTGCTTTTGTTGTGAATTTTAGCAAAGTAGTGGATACATTGTACTGTGTATCATTAAAAAGGTTTAATTAAAGTAAACTTTGCAATTAATATCTTTTGTTGTTATTTTATGCATGTACCTTGTTGTGGTATATTATCAGAAACAAAATCAAGTTTTAAGAAATTCTGTATCCCGTTCTACGGTGATGTGTGGTCTGCTTTTACACATGACCTAATGTAGTCTTTATTAAACAAACGGTGCTTAACTCTCTTCCTCTTATCCTTACAACTGTCCATCCTTCCAGAAATGCATGCACTTTAAATTGCTTGAGTTAGTAAGCTCTGCAGCATAACTGTCTGGAAGATTAAGAATTAAACCCAAAATTTTCAGCGTTGCAGAAGTGCAAATAACTTTTTCAGTGCTTGCAATTAAGTGTAAACAATGTAGTTACAACTGTACTTTCCCAAGGGAACATTTAGATCCTGGATTTTATTTAATTGTTGTAAATTAAACAAAGAAACACCCCTTTCCTTTTGCTCGGCTCGTTAATTCTAACGTCAGCAGATGCATATTTTTGATCCGCAGGAGCCAAATATTGAATTGTTTGGTTCTGTATTCAGTCCGTGACCAGTAACAGCCTCAGGTATCAAACCAGCAAGTTGTCAATGCAGCGGCCGCGCTCTAAAGCTGGTTCCTCAGAGTGCTGGGTGGGGCTGAATTTGTTAGTTCTCTTACAGTGACACTTTGCCACTGAACCATTCTGGTCCGTGTTACTGGTGTGCACAGTGCTGTACAGAGCTGGAGTGAGAGAAACACTGCAGGTGCCACATTTAACACACAAACACTGCAGGTGCCATGCTCAGCACAGACCTGCTCTTTGCAGGGATTGACCTTTATTTTCTCATGTGTTCTGCACATCTATCCTAGCGTTTATAAACGGCAGGGAGGGGAAAACCTAACTTTTCCCTGTGGTTTTGGTATGCTGTGAATTCCAAGGCTGTGATATGAGGACAAAGGTAACAATTTATAGAGAGCTGAGTTTCTTTTCTGTAAATACCCCCATTATGATAACACAGTCCTGGAACAGAACATGCAAAGCAGTTCTCTCTAAGCCCTGTGACAGCCCTGGCCCTCCAAAGCCAGGCTGTGCTTTCCCTGACACGCCACTGCTGAGCCAGTGCTGTGTCCCCTCGGGTGACCCTTGGAACGGGCCTGTCCTGCTGCAGTGAGCTCTCCCAGGATCCCCAGAGCAGAGGGGACACACACCTGTGTCAGCACAACCAACTGGCTCACAGCTGCTCTCCCAGGGCACGGAGTGACACGCAGAGCACGGCTCTGACTGAGCAGGAGCACCATGGGGGCACCAAGGTGCGGCCACATCCCCCCAGGACACCCCAAAAACGTCAACCAGTCATAAAGGATCATGTGGAGAGAAAGAAACACACTGGACAAAATCGATCCCCTGCTCTGATCTGTGCTGCCTCATCCCCTCTGTGCGTGTGTCAGATTAAATCCGTATAATTAACAGGTCTCAGTAACTTGAATTTATCATGCACAACAACCCTGACAGCTGTTCAGTGGCTTATAATTATAAGTGCATATCACAAACACTTTAAAGTGCCTGCAGTTGCATTTCTAGGAACTCTCCCTTGAATTCTCTAGGAATATGGAATAGTTTGGATACAGGAGATCTACACACACTACAACCATTTTTTATTTGCTGTTAGTGAGGTCAACTGACCGTTATGTAGCTTGTACCTGAAAAAAAAAAATCCATAGTTTTTTATAGTTTAAATTCACTGAATATTTTTTCTCCCCATATGTGGTCAGGAACTTGGCTGTTAAACTAGCAGAAAGCATATTCCCAGCTACACTTCCATAAAACAAGACACCACTCCCAAATCCTGTTGAAAATCCACTTCTTATTCTGAGATTCTTACCCATGGAACAGGTGCTGCTTCTGCTTCAGAAAGAGGTCAGCAGATAAACCTGTGTAAACCTTGCTGGTTGTTAAACTGTAAGGCAGATTCCAGTTCTGGATTCTGAGCTTGGCATACAAGACCAATAACAATACAACTTTTAATTGAGACCAGCTGAGTCTCAGGTGGTCTCAATTACACAAAGTAACCCCACCTGTGCTATTTTGAATCAGCACCAATTTATTTTATTCATAGAAATGATCACAGAAATACTTTTTTCCTGAAACATTTAAGTTTGCAGGCTGTTTCTGTCCACCTTGAAAACAGGATATATTTCATCCCCCAAGAATTCATCCTTGTCTAGACAAAAGATTTTAATGCAGACTGTGTAAGATATGCTGTCATACCATACAATCAAGACTGTCAGTACCCATTTCTCTTCAAGTTACAGAACATACAAGCACACCACTGAGTTTCAAAGAAACTCTTGCCATCCTGGCTTCTTCCCTTTGACACTGAAGGAAAGAGGTTTGTAACTCTTTCAGTAACTGCCTGCTGTGTGTAGTGTTATTCAGGTCACTATTTCTTCCTTCCTTTAATTCCTGGGGAGTCTGGGCAGGGGAACAAAATAGCTACACTGCACTGGACATCACGACATGGAATTCTTGCCTTTAACCAGACAAAGTTCTGCTGACACTGGAGTGCTGAAACCCATGGGTTGAGAAGGCAAGACCAGGGTACCACATCCACCTCTGCCAATCCATCCAGCCACCGAGAAAACAAACCCACATGCTCCAAGGTCTTTCAACTGTGCATCCTTTCCTCATTTTACAGAAATCTGTGGCATGTCGATTCCATGCCACAGGTGATTATTTTCTTGCTGAAGAAAGCCCCAACAAATGGAAATTTCATAAAGCACACAAATCCTAAACCTAAAACACAGCTCTTACTAAAACCAGCAGCTGGGAGAGGATTCAGAGCACCAAACTCCGAGCTCCCCTCAGACTCCTGGGGCAGTGATTTCACTCACTGACAAGAAAAACTCACCAAGGGCTTTGCACTTGTTTTGAAAGGGTGCAAACGAGAGGCTGCCAGAATTATGAACACTCTCCATCTGCTATTTTTTTACTCATTTTGGCTTTCTGAGGTTTGTCAAGCCCATATTGCCACCAAGCTGGAGTTCAGTCCATGGAGCTGGAGAACCTGAAATACCCTCAGCCTTGGAGAACTGCATGGGGGCAGCGTTTTACATTTTACTACTGGTATGACACAGAAAAAGAAGAAAAATAAAGAAAAAAGGAAAAAAAACGGAAAACGGAAATAAAGGTAGAAAAAATGAAAAAAGCGGGGGGAACGAGAAGGAAAGGAGGGAAAGGGGGGAAAATGCGGAGGAAGAAGGGAAAAGGGGGGGAGAAGAAAAAAAAGGGGAGAAATGGAAGAAAGGGGAAGAAGGAGAAAGGGGGAGAAGGGGGAAAGAAAAAATTGGGGGGCGGGGGGGGGGGGAAGAAAAAAAGGAAAGGAAAAGAAAAGAGGGAGAGGCTCGGGATGCTTCGACCCTTTTCCCGCCCCGCCCCAGCCGCGCTGAGGCACCGCCCAGATGGCGGAGGGCGCCCCGCGGCGGCCCCTCGGGGCTCAGGCGATCCCCGCTCACCGCTCCCGGGCCGTCCCTCGGGGCTGAGGCGATCCCCGCTCACCGCTCCTGGGCCGTCCCTCGGGGCTGAGGCGATCCCTGCTCACCGCTCCCGGGCGCTCCCTCGGGGCTGAGGCGATCCCCGCTCACCGCTCCCGGGCGGTCCCTCAGAGCTCAGGCGATCCCCGCTCACCGCTCCCGGGCCGTCCCTCAGAGCTCAGGCGATCCCCGCTCACCGCTCCCGGGCCGTCTCTCGGGGCTCAGGCGATCCCCGCTCACCGCTCCCGGGCCGTCCCTCAGGGGCCGATCCCCCCTCACCGCTCCCGGGTCTCTCAGAGCAGTTCCAGCCCTTCGCTTTCCCGAATAAACTCAGTTCTTACTGAGCAGTTTATGGAAAGAAATAAATTACTACAAAACGCTACAACAGATTACCGTGAATTACTGACATCTTTAAGACGAGCTGCCTGGATATGACCCCTAACTAAAAAAACCTACAATTTGAAAAGATTATCCCATAACACATCAATAGCTGCATTACACTGATTTTATAAATGTATAATGTACTACAGATTGATTATTCCTTTCATTATGAGTATTCAATTTTGACATGATTCATTTGAAATGCAACTTGGGGTTCTTTATATCAAAGTGGAGGTATCTGAAAATTTGTTTTTCTTAAAATTTCTCATACATTCCTCAATACAATACCTTTAATTGAAAAAGGCTTCTAAAGAAAAATATGTGATACTGAAGACAATACATGACTGTAGTTTAAAATCCTCTACATTTTGTATTAGCCAAAATAATTACAGGATGCCTTCTCGAAGGTTTTTTTGAGATGTTTTTTGTCTTTAACAGAACAAAAGGTATCAAGAATAAACACACTACTCACAAAGCACAAGTTCTACTCACAAGAAACTTCTGCAAGATCCTCAGAAGTGTTTTTAAAAGTGATTTCAGTGATCACCTTCTGTGCATCCTGGACACTTAGGTGTTCCAACAGGACAGTTTAAACTTGAAAGAAGTATTGTAACATCCAGTAGCTCCCCTGTGTTCTGACCGAAATACACTGAACAGAACATGTGGGAAACACTCTCCGTTTCAAAGCGGTAAATGCCAAAACTGAAATCAATGTTAAAGAAGGTTAAGTGAAAATCCAAGTAAGACGAGTCAAGGAAAGGAGAGAAAATGTTAAGACAGGGTCTTAGTCTTCTTTTCCTTATCCAAGATAATATTAATTCATCTCACTCTTAGCTGAATAATTGGAAAGAACATTATACAAAACTCAGTTTTACTTAAGAACTCTGAAAAAATCCACATTTTCCATACTACAGATTGAGGTTTCCTCAAAGTATTTCCACATCTTAGCTAGACTAATGAAGAACCACTACATTTCATTTTAAAATACCACAGCAGGAAATGTTAGAAATTACAGTGGTAGTTCTGAGGCACTGTTTTATGGTACTTTTTTGCAATGATAATTCACTATATCCTTGCTTTAAAAATTAATTTTCAGGACATGTCACCAAAATCTTTGCCAAGCCTCCTGGTATAACACAGGTGTCTACTACACTCACATTTCTCTTGTTTTATAGCAATACCCATATATATTAATCTATTTTGTCCATCACCTGTGGCAACAAGTGCCTATTTCTTTTTGTGGTGATCCAGCTGCAGATCCTTCCCTCCTGGGGCTCAGTCATACCTTAATACAAACAATCACATTAAAGACACTTCCAACATTTTTATTCCTTGCTTCACTGACTCTCGCAGTAGTTAGAGCTCTGACATGTGATTTAGTACTGAAACAATACAACTTCAAGTCATCCTGACATGTTACAAAAGTACAATCATTACTGAGAGAGATTTGGCATACTTTGCAAATACTTGGTGTATTACAGAAAGTGCTAAAGAAACAGGAGATATCTGTTTATTGTACCGGTAAAAAGGCAAGAATGTGCTGCTGTAAATACTTTTTCAAGAAACAGGAAATAAACATTTAGAGCAGTGTTCTGAAACTGCATCCAGCAAGATGTGTTGACAGCTACTTACAAAACGTTATGAGTGATAAATCAACGATCCTGACAGTGGAGAGGGGGATTAGGGTGGTTTGCAAACAGGGAAAACACACCAAAATGTGACTCCCATAGCAGCTGTGTTCTCTTCATGGTGTGAGTTTTCAGATGTTGCTGCTGGGATAATAAGCAGTGAAGAAGTTGGCCAGGAAGTCATTTCACCCTGTGCCACCATCTGTCTGTCAATGCTTATTAGCACAGAAATATTTTCAAAGACATCTCTTGGATCACAATATTTAGAAGTATTTTACAAAAATAACATAAATTAAATTACTTTTTTGGGTTTTTCTAAATGAACAACTATAAAATCCATGAACCAAACAACACAAAACATGGACACAAGATGAAATATATTACACTAAAGGCCAGATAATTACCACAGTGGTATGAGGCTTCAAGTAAATTATGAGGCACTTTTTGGCCAAGCAGTAGTCATTCATTCAGTGGTAAAGTCCAACTCACAGAAACACCTGAAACAAAATTGCTAAAGCTTTCTAAGACCCTCAGTTCCTCAAAACAAAGTGCAGATAGAAAGGCAAAGACAAAAAGGGCAGGTATTGTGCCCAGTGTTGGCTGCTTTCCTCACAGGACTGTGCTCAGCTGGAGTTCCAACACGGCAGTACCAAGTCAGCCTTCCCCAACCTCCATGGGCAGTTCTGTTAAGGCTTTACACATCAGAGAGAGGAAATAGCAACTCCAGACACATGGGAAAACAAACCAACAGCAAGGCAGCAGCAGGGTTAGATGTGAGCAAGTCCCCAGCGGAACAGACTGGAACTCCACTCTAGTTTAGGATAGCACCCCTTGCTTGCAGAAGAGCCAGCAGTGTTGTGCTGTACCAGCCCATTCGACACTGAGGCTGATGCCAACAAACCCTGCTGTGATACCCTGAAGATCCCAAATACCTACAGGCTAAATCTGCAAGCAAACAAGATACTGTCATGGGGGAATTTAAGTACCAGTGACATGAATAGCCTACTATGAAATATTGCTATTAAAATACCTAACATAATGAAGAGGAGGACAATAAAGGGAACAAAAGCCAGAAATTACATACTTTGAAGTACTATAAAAAGCATTATTGATATTTAATATAGTTAAACATACTAATATATCTATATGTACTACTAATAAGCACAGCTAATGTAAGATCGCATTAATGTAGAAGTTAAAAAGTTTTAGAAGGCAGCAGTTTGTGGTGCTATTATAAAGCACAGCTTGTTTTTGGGGAAGAAAAGCACAGTCACTGAGTGGTCCTTAAGAAATCACATCACCTCAATTAGGTGCAAAGTTCTCCAGCTGGAAGACCAGGTCTACAGCAGCATCGACATCTGGAACAATGTGATCCGGTTCTACTAAACCAGGATCAAACCTAAAATCTCTGTGGCCATGGAACACGGCTTCCCTGAGGCTGTCCCTGGCCTCCAAGGGCACCTGGGAGTGGGGGTTGTACACCCCGGTGCACACCAGGACAGACCTGCAGTGGGCAGCAGCTGCAGGTGCCAGCTGGTTCTCCCAGCCCTGCTCCATGTCCTCGTCCTGAGGGAGCGCAGCAGAGCCTCTGCCACCAGAAACCTGGGCCTGGAGCCGGGGCTTGGAGCCCTTCCTGGAGTTCTCCTCAAGGTAGCGGTTGTAAAGGTTGGCACCGTAGACGTCCGTCATGAGATTGTCTCTGCAAACAGAAGGAAGCTCGCTCAGCAGGGCAGGCTTACCTGTCAGGTGTGCAGGTATGAGAGACATGGCTTTAGTTTACAGGTTAATTTATACTTGAACAGCTCCATGGGGAGTTATGCAGACAGGGGGCAATCCATATCCCACAGCTATTTTATTGCACCGTTGTCATCGAGGGGTCATGATACAAATGAGTCGCTCTCCAGATTGGAACTACACATTGGAGCAGGGGGGGAAATCAAGGATAGGTATGAGCAGTGCATGAATGAGCTTATTATATTTCCAAACATCTTGGAGCTTCTGGAACAGTCTTTAATACAATACAGCTTTATCCCTTTCCGTGAAAAGCATTCTATGCTGTGACACCACAGGCAGTAGCACATGACCCAGCTTAATGACCTCACAGATAAATTCCAGCTCTACATTCTCTAACAACTATCACTTACTCAAAGCCAGCTGGTGTTAGACCAGGAAACCTAATAAAAGCAGTACCCAGGTGTAAGTGGTTCCCTGCTGGTCAGCTCAGCACCTTACCCCACAGCATAGAGGGTGTGGATGGGCTGGTGCCAGGGCCTGTGCAGGGCCTGCGCTCGCAGCAGCTGCTCGGCGTACAGGTACGTCAGCCTGCTGGGCTTGCCCATCAGCGCCTCGTACTTCAGCTCCCTGCCAGTGATCTTCTTGTAAATGTTCTCCAAACAAACCATGAATGTCCCATGCCCAAACCTACATAGATAGAAAAACAAATCAAATTAAGTGTAGATTAAAAGAAAAAAAAAAAAAAGGCTTTTTTAAATCATGATTTTTTAGGAATAAAGCATATCCTACACCTATCAAACTTCCCTTATCATGCAGCTGTTTCACTGGAAATAAAGTGCCTATTCGCTGAACAACAAAACCCCCACGTTACTGGGATGGCACAACAGATTTATCTAGTTTTCAAACTGCTCGCTGTAGATGTCCTGCCTGCCTTACTCCAGCGTGAAACTACCACACACACATCCTTTGCCAGCGTGCTAATTAGAGAAAGCCTTTGCTTCCAAGGCAGGATATCTGACAAGATCTCTGACCCAGGATCGAGGCAGCAATCGAGTCACAATAACAAGTTTCTGTTTCAAATTATAGACTGAGAGGAAGGGAGGGGAAACAAGGCTATTAAAGAACTACCTTCTATTGTAAGCAAAATCAAACCAAATCACTATCAGAGGTCATGCCACCTTGTTCTGCGTGTTCTGCTGGTTTCTCTTACACTCCTTAAGGAGCTCACTGCATTGTCCTCAGCTCAGAACCACTCACTGCTTTCAACATCAGGGTCAGCTCTTAACCCCACCAGGAGTGTAGGGTGGAAAAGAGAAATTCCAAAGGACCTAATGAAATGAAACAATGGCCTTGATAATTTTTTCATTTTTCCCTTTGAACTGAGACTCTGAGGCCCTCAGGCAAAAACCTCTCTTTCCCTACTCTTCTGGGAGTGAGGAAACAAAAGGGTTTGGAGCTCAAAAGCAGTTTTTCTCCTGAGTAACTGGTTTCCTGGATGCAATAATGCACACAGCAATAGGGCAGCATTAGCTGGAAGTGCATTGCTGAGAGACTTTGCATTCAGAGCCAAGACCTGCTGTGAAGCTGCACCAGGCATTTTGTATTCAGGTGCTGACTCTGAATTTCACTGGAGAAATGAGGAAACCCCAAATAAATCACAATACACACACATTATAAATTACTCACCTTGGAGACTGTGCTTCAGCTACCCACATGAGATCCATGTTACAGGCAAGCACAGGAATGTGAGGGTAGTTTTCATGGTGATAGGGATTTCCAGGATAGCCACTGGTCAGCAAAACATCTATTATCAACTGCAGGCTGGTTTCCCATCTGACTGGCTCCCCAAACAGCACCACAGCTGTGAGAACCAGAATTCCAAAACAGAGTCATGGAACTGCTAAGAGGGCACACACGTGGTCTAAAAAGACTGAACAAGTAATTTAATATAATCACGAACTGATCAGTCACATTCACTTTAATTTAGGTATTAATATTTAATATATCACATACCCATCCATTCACAGAAAATCTCAGAAGCAACAAGACCCCACTGCAAAATCTACGGGTTTAGGAATTTGGGGTTTTTTATTGACCGAGTTTCTCCAGAGCACCCTAAAATATTAACTCTAAACTGTATTTCTACGTCTTCCACACCTTTGTAAATTCTATGTTTCCATACAGTATTTAAGTAATCCATCAGAGATGTTAATTTGTTCATCTTAGAACAAAATCTGAATGTTGTTTTTAAACATTTTTTTGGTCTCCAGCAATAACCTGACGTGGATTTTTTTAAATCTCAGATGAGAGTGAATGCGATGTGCTGAAACAAGATGCTTCTCACACTGCAGCTCTGCAGTGACCATCCTGGCTGCTTGCAAGGACTAGACCAATTACTGCTGAACACATGTCAATTCATTCCTCATTTTGGACAGGAAAGCACCAACAGCCTGTTAAAGGGAATGATGAAAAGGGAAGGAGACCTCATGTAGCTTTGAAACTTCAAAAACACGTGGCTGAAAACTGTACACATTAAAAAGCAGCTTTACCACACATGATGCATTCCAAATGAATGACAGATGTCATTAACAAGGAAATCTTAGCAGTGTCTCAGACAACTTTCTGAAGTGCCCAACAATCTAAAAATAACTCCTGATTATAAAGCACAATAAAGATATTTCATCTATTAATGGATAGTTGCAAGTTAAATAAAGGTAACTGACCCTCAATCTTGGGAAGCTCCACAGCAGAGGGGGACTGCAATAAGAAAAGAGTGAAAGTTTTCTACAAGATTAAACATCTACTACTATTTTTAACAGAATAAATTCAAATATAACTCCCACAGCTGCCTTCTGCAGCACTGACAGGAAATACTCTCTCTATTTTGGTAGATACCTGATGTCAGTTCACTCAGAAACTTGTATGTCCACTGTGAAGCGAAATCTCGTGCAGAGACAGCAGACACGTCACAGTGCTCGTGTGTGAAAGTGTGGATGTTTAGTTTTCCACAGTAGTAAGAGGCCTTTAGTATTATCAAGACATCTGTATAACAGTTTTTGAGGTGTATTTCTTTAACACTGCTAATAAAGAAAATCGCATTGTGTAACATGTCATGTCTTTGCTACACAATTAAGAGTTTGCACTTCATTATTTCCTCTCTGTGGTGCCAAACACATTAACAGGTTCCTGAGCTCCCCACTGGCAGGGTTGAGAAGCACAGCCAAAGGTGATACAGCTGAGTTATGGATTCTGGGAGCCACAGGGAATGTCTTGGCTTCACCTGGGGCAGACCCTCTGCCCCAAACACGCCCAGTTCACCAGGGATTTGCTGTGCACGTATTCACTTCTCTTGGAAATGCTGCACAATTCAGTGGAAACCATACTGTTCATACTGTAAACATTTCATATACTTGGTATAAACAAGAAAGGGAGTCCTTTGCAGGGAAAGTAATTCTCTGCAAAGCATTAATTTACAATCAAAGCAACCTCACAGCCTACAAGTAATACCAACACAATCCCAGGCTGAAGGAAAACACTTGTGGTATCTTCCACACACCTGAAGAAACCAATCAGCTCTCCAAGACAGATTTTGAACTAGGTATCTGTATTAGACTGTAAGTTTTCCCACAACAGTAAGTTACAATATCAAAGACTGGGTTAAAGAATTACCACTGAGAGAAAAAAGTCTGTGGAGTTGCTCTTGAAAATGTTGTAATAAAACAAATAAGGAAGCAGAAATGCAAAGTCAAAACACCATGTAGGAACAGCAGCATTAGCTTGGTAGTTAAATATTGACCCCTACTATAGAATGTCATGCAATAAGCAAACAAAGAGCTTTAAAACAAAAATACACACTCACCAGAACGTTGGGTCTTCTGTCATGGTCAACTGCATCCAGGAGTGGGTGCTTCTCCCGCAGAGTTTCGATGGTGATGGGCTGACAGAAACCAAGGCTGGCAACACCACTTAAGGACAAAGAGCTTCTTATAGGAAAGGATTTTTAAAATCCATAATCCCATTTGAACAACATAGGCAGTTTGTCTGGTAAAGCAAATCAGTTAGGAATGAAAGCACCATCAAAGACCAAGTTTTTCCTCTGTGAGCCAAGAAAATGATCATCCCATTAGAGACAAACAGGACCAAGGCTCTTCTGGTTTGTATTCAGCCTTGTAACACACTCGTCTCTTAGCCAAGCCTAATGTTCCTTCAATACCTTTTTCTCATCTTTGTCTTTGAAATAGAGCTTATACTTAATATCTGCATATACATTTTTTACAACTTACGATTTACACCAACTTCAATTAAAATCCCAATAGAGGAAGAAGTGTAGAAGGCACTTACTGGGAGTATGAGCAAAGATTATGTTTGAAACTTTGATACCACCATTATATCAACATAATTCAAATTCTTTTGGCCATTAGTACAGAAGTGGCAAAAATATTCACTAGAATTTACACTAGAAGTTGGTTACAAAGACACCCTTACAAGCAAATCTTGGGCCACTGAGCTAGAAGTCAATGTGATAAATAACAGACAGAATGCCAGGCTCTCCTCCCCAAGGGAGCACAAACCCTGTGTGCTGAAGTGTCATTTGCATATGAATAAAAAAATTCTTTCTCTTTTTTCCTCACTCAAAACTGACAGAACAAAGTGAAGCAAATACCAGCACACCAAGCACATTCAACACATAAATCTGACATCACAGAAAGAACTACCATTTACTGCTTATTACTGCGTTTGTAGGGTTGAGATATTGGGTCTTCACTTGACCCACAGGACTCCCTGACCTTGACTAGGGAAAGCACTTTGACTGGAAGTGTTGGTTTTTGTTTTTTTTAAAGATACTCTTGAGCAATATCAAGAAGTGGTCCTTGTCCAGACACCAGGACACATTTCTCATGATAACGCTTGAACATCCGCAGGGGACTGTGTGACATCATCACCTGATCTTGGGAAATCTGGTTGGGATTCAAAAACAAAAGCAGTCTGTTGGTTTTGATTTTCAGGGAAGTTATTTATACAAAGATTCAATTAACAGATGTTAATTGTCTAGGAATTGCAAAATAATCGTACAGAGGTACCATCTAAACACCTATCACAGCATTTTCTCTTAAGTTTCACAAAGGACCTATTGATAACATGCCAGACAAAAATACACTGCTACATAAATACGTTACAAAAAAATACATTACAAAAAAGTACATTACAAAAAAAATACATTACTGCACTGTCATGCACAGACCCCTTTCAGCTTCCAGATTACTCTATTCAACATGAGCACAAGGTTTCCTCTCCCAGTTTTACAGAATCACCCAATTTGGAAAACAAACAGGGAAGAAGAATCAGAACTGCCCTAGTTCCAATTGTGGGCCCTTTGCTAAACTACAGCACTGACTTAATTGTATCAGAAAATCACCTTTTACTTTACATATCCCCACTCCTTCCACAGGATAGGTATAAACCTTTAACATCATTATCCTGGGAGGGTGCTCTTATGAATCACTCCCTACCACCTTTGCAGAAAAATCCTGTTAGCTTTAGCTTTGCCATTGGAAAAATCAGTACCCTCACCAAAGGAAATGCCATGAGCTTTGGACAGCATTTTTTACTCTGTTACCTCCAGCAAAGCATTTCAGGGGGCTTAAGGGAAAACCAGACCTGATTAACGGAGCAGCATTTAGTGGAAGATAATACATTTGACACACTCAATGTAACAACGAAATAAATGGATTTAAGGGACTCACTGGAACTCCCAGCAGATGAGACAACTGGTCAGCTTTTTTCTGGCGAAGGCAATTCCCTGCATTGGTGACAAACACCACAGGCACCAAGAACTGTCCCTGAGAGTTCACGAGCTTTTGAAAGGCTGTTCTGGCAGCAGGAATCGGAGTCTTCCCTCGCACCAGCACCCCATCGATGTCAAACAGGAACCCAAAGGAGGGCAGCGCACTGAGCTGTCAGGAGTGCAAAACAGAGAGCACTTAGTTCTGCCTGGACTTACACACTCTGAGGGAGCTTTCAGCAGCTACAGCCCCGTGAGAACAGACGCCTGAGAGCAAGGGAGCTTCAGCTCAGCACACAACTCTAACGTGCCTTAGAGACACATTCACATGCTAAAATACCTACTGTGACACAAGGAACACAGCTCCCTCTGCCTCATGCATACAGCCCCATGAGCTCTACCTCGCCTTACAAACTGTTCCACATCAAAAATCAAGTTAAACTGATCAGAAGACATACAAAATACCTGCTGCTGTGAGAGCGAGTCTCACTTTTGATTGGTTTGCCATCCCCCTCGAACACCAACAAAACACACAACGGTCAACATTTCAGCGCTGCTAGGTCTTGAACTTGGCCCCTCCCTTACAAGGTTTAGACACTAAAACTGTCCCAGCTGTCACCTGCACTTCTCTGTTCCACAGCAGGTTCGATTACAGCCAGATAACTGCTGTGCTCCTTCCACGTGGCTCCCCTTGATTCCTGGTTTTACACACAGCACAGTAATGCCCATAGGTAAAGTTAACAACTCCTCAGAGAAAGGTGCTGCTTGAGTCACTAAAATGTGTCCCCTTGCCCGCCTTTGAGGAAATAAGAGCTGGACTTCATGAGTTCAGGAAAGAAGAATGAGGCTAAGGAGGGGTAAGAAAGATGAGCTGCTGATAAGCCCAGGGAGCAGAGACAGAGAGAGGACTGTTGAGACAACGAAACTGTTAATGAATCACGTTGGAAAACGACAGGACAAAAATTATCACTTCATTTCTCTCCCAAACCTAAAATGGAATCCAAGACTCTTGAGATTTCTGATTCCCTCTGTCATTGTTTGATGAAGAGGGAAAGCAAATTAAGTGCCGAGACAGAGCACAATGAGAAGAGGCACCGAAAGGACTCCAGACACCGGAGTGGGACAGCCCTGGCTATTGGAGCTGTCCCACCCAGCCCACTGTGTTCCCTAGTAGGGAGAAGAGCATTTGCCTATTTAAGCAGCACTTTGTTCCCCATCAATTATTCACCGACTGCATTTTTCCTGCAGCTGGTACAGCACGGACACCACCGCTGTCACCGCTGGGAAGGGAGACGCTGCTGCCTGCACAGCCGGCACGGCTCCCACTGCTGCCCCTTCCAGATAGCACTCAAACCGCTGCACCCACGGGGCTCAGCCCAGTTTAATAAAGCCACCACCGCTGTAAATACATCGATTATCATTGATTTGCATTAGAATGGGTTTGCTGTCCAGCTTTACACGCAAGAACTCCCCCTGATGCCCTTTTTTTCCTCCTCTACAGAAACATCAGCTTCTATTTTAAAACAAACCCTCCTGCAGCCCCTGTCTCCACATTGCCGGCACCCGTTTCAGGAATGGCACCTTAGAAACAACCCAACTGCTGCAGAAATGCTGCTAAAAGTTGCTGCCAAATGTGCAGCAGTGTCCTCAGGCTTTGTGGACTGGCATCTGAAACTGCTGAAACTGAAGTGCTATCGGAATAGTTTTGTAATAGACGCGGTCAATTTTGCCATGTACAAATAACAGGTGTATAAATAACAGATCACAGATAAGAATTTTACAGTGAATAGACTAGCAAAAGAAGGTATTTTGTAAAGCATATCGGGAGGAAAAAAGCACTAAGGAAGGAACTGAGCATACATTCAGCAGGGAAATAATGAAGTCAACAGCTTCTTTTTCCTTTTGACCCTAAAGAAACTCTGCTCGGGACAGGAGAGCTCTGCCCCGCTGCACAACGAAGGGGACGGATGGAGTCGGAACGACTTCCCCTTGTTCCCACTGTACCACTGCGGGGCAGTCCCTGGGACGGGAGTTCTGCCCGGAACCCGCCACGGCGTCCCGGGACAGCGACGGTCCCCGCGGGCATCCCACGGCCGCGGGCTCAGCGGCGGCCCGGACGCGCCCCCCGCACCCCTTTCGCTCGGTGCCGCCCGCCCCGGTGCCCGCTGTGCCCTCCCCTCGCCCGTCCCCTCTCACCGCTGTCCCCCCGCAGAGCCCGCGGGCGGCCCCGCGCAGGGCGCGCAGCGGCGGCACCGCCCGGCGCATGGCGGGCTGTGAGGGACCCGCCGTGCCAGGGACCCGCCCGGCCCGGCCAGCCCTGCCCCCGCTGAGCTCACAGCGCGTCACACACGCGTCACGGACAGACCCGCATCCTGCGAGCCCTGAGTCCCGCCAGCCCCGCGTCCTGCGAGCCCCGCGTCCCGCCAGCCCCGCATCCTGCGGGAGCCGGGCCCTGCCAGCCCCGCGCGGCCGCCGCTCCCAGCCCCGCATCCGCGGGGCAGCCCCTCGGCCGCAGCGGGGGTGGTGCCACGTTAACAGCGACGCGAAGAGCAGCGCAACGTTCCTAGGAGGGAAATAACTGTCTTTCAATTTACTAACAAACCAGAAGAAACATTTCTCTCTGGTTCTGCCTGTCCCGCAGAGGCCAACGACGATTAAGGGACTGGAGCATCGCTCAAGCAAAGGCTGAGGGAGCCCAACCTGTTCAGCCTGCAGAGGAGACCGAGAGGGGACCTTGTCAACGTGTATAAATATAAAGGAGGGGTGCCAAGAGGATGGACCAGGCTCTGCTCGGGGGTGCCAACCACTAGGACGTGCAATGAGCAGAGACTGGTGCCCAGGAAGTTCCACCAGAACGTGAGCAAGAACTTCTTCCCTGTGCAGTGACCGAGCACTGAACAGATTGTCCAGAGAGGGTGTGAAGTCTCCTCACTGGATATATTCCAGCTGGATGCAATGCTGTGCCACGTGCTCTGGGGTGGCCCTGCTGGAGCAGGAGGTGGGACCAGATGAGCCACTGTGGTCCCTCCCAACCTGACCCGTTCTGTGATACTTCAGGAATCAGGGCTTTTTGAGAAAAAAATCCATCAAGCACAACCACCGCAGCTCTGCACTGCAAAGGCATTCCCCAGCAACCGAACTTGAGACCAGCAGCACAAAATGTCATTAGTTAATGGACACTCTGCAAAGCCCTCGTTTATCTTGCTCATCTGCTAATGCAGATTAGGTAAATCCACTTATTTCCTTGTGGTGCCAACAAATACTCCTCACCCCCACTCTGACTGCAGGCAGCAACTGATCCTCCAGCGACCGCACTGCGCTCCCCCAGACACAGAGGCACAAAGGGGGCCTTCAAACTGCTCCACTTCCGTGGCTGGCACTCAATGAAACAACCAAATGCATTTCTAAAAGCCAAAAGCGAGCCCAAACCGATGCACAGACAGCAGGGTGAGGGAGGCTGTCCCCTCTGAGCTCCAGCCAGGCTCACACAGCACAGAACTCTGAGGCACGTCAGAGAACAAGCTACGTGTGAGCAGGGGGCCAGTGTTGGTTTTACAGCCTGGGTATGTTTAGGGCTGGGCACGGCAGAGATGGTGTGAGCTGTAAGCCTGACAGCACAAGGCATCCAAGTGCAGCTGCACACTCAGAGTTAACACAGACCTGCACCCCGCTCCATCCTCCAGGACACACAGCAGCCTCCCCCCCCGCCTGCCCCAGCGGCTCCACAGCCCACACAGCAGGCACACACAGCCTTTTGGCCACAGGCCACTGGGGCAAGGAATTCCTCTGCCATTTGTTGAATTGGGCACAGCCAAACAGAGCATTCAGCCTAAAAACCCTTTGCACTGAGCTACAGAGAGAGCATTCAGGAGAGAGGGCCAGGCAGTAGAGTTCAGTTTGCCTTCAACAGTTCCATATTGCATTTTTGTGCATTTATTCCAGTTCTGTGGTGGGTGGCAGAGATCAGCCCTGCCCTAAAAACTCTCCTTTTACATTGTGATGGATAATGCTCAGGGCTGAAAGCTACTCCTTGAACAGGAATGCAATTACAATCCTGTTCATTTTCTCTCATTCTTTCAATTTATTCCTTTTTTGTGCCCGCTTTCATCATCACGCTGTCCCTGATTTGTCTTTACCCTTCTGTTTTCCATCGTCCATCTTAGAGATTCACAAAGTGACAGAAGGGATCCACCACTGGTATTAACAAACCATACCAGACTGTATCAGGCTGTACAAACTAGCTGGATTTTTTTCTCCCTTAAATCTGTTTTTGTCATCTCCAGCCCTCAAAGCCTTTACCCTTCACAGACTGAGATTTTCCACAGGCAAAGGACACCACTCTGATCCAGAACCATGAGCACATCCAGCAGGAAAGAAGCCTGTTTTTCCATTGTCGATGGCCAGGGTTTTGGGGAAGGAACTCTGGGAAACAGCATTTCCCTTTTACAGCAATACAGAGAACATGTCAAAAGCACATCACTTCTTGAAACCCAAACCCAGAAAACACTCAAAAGGCAGCCCTTTGGAGGTGCTTGGAACCCAGAGCACACAAATTCCTGTGAGTCACAAACACACTCGTTTGCTGCTTTCTTACAAAGCAGAGCTGCATTGCCAACAGCCAGAGAGAAGAATGTGTTTGTGAGATTCAGGGTTTGCCCCTACTAATAATTCAGCTTTTGATTTATTCTAAGTTTTTAATTTGGTGGCTACACTTCCCACATGTTCAAGGCTTTTTTGTTTGATCACTTACTTCAAGTAAGACAAAGCTTTTCTCTATAATTTAGAGCTTTGATTGTTCTGGAGTGGATTATTCACAAGAGATAGTAACAGATTAATACTAAGAGCATTAGAAATAGGTTAAACAGTCCCAGACATGGTTACTTGACTGTTAAATACTCTGTTCCTTAGACAGAAATACTCCATGGCTGCAGATGTCCAGTTTAAAGTGTCATTCACTCAGATCTGTACAACAGTCACCCAGAAGACTCTAAACAGGCCCTGCTGTAACTTGCCTCTTGTCACAGGACACACGAGCCAAGAGCAGTAGGGGATGCAGAGCTTCAAATCCCTGCAGGGATGGGTGTTTATGATCCCATTTTCTGGATAGGATTAGGGAATCCCCACAATCCTCTGAGCTAGAACAAAACAAGACACCAGGTTGTAAATAAGTTTTACTAAAAATATTTGACAAGGTATTGCAAAGTTTTTTTACAACAGCTGCTGAAATATCCAGCATTTAAGCAATCCATCCAGGCACAGTTACAAACCACAAAAAGGGCAGCAGATTTTAGACACTGTATGTGTCACAGAAAGAACCAAATCTACTTCAAAGTCACTCATAAGATCTGTCATCCAAGTACCTCTGAACAGGTTCTAGGCTATTCTGACCAACTAAGCAGGCGTAACCAAGTTAATTCTGGACTCAGCTCATCAAAAACCAGCATGACAAGGATGTGTACACTTACAGTCAGGATAGAGCAGGGAGGGTGGCAGGAACACCATCAGCTTTCCCCCGGGATTTCAGAGGCCGGTGGGTGTGTGGTTCTATCTGTAAGAGGCACCACTGCACAGACCCTTTTACAAACTGAAGGGACTGATGACAGTTGTAGATGCAGAGACAAGATCTTTGTCAGCACTGGAGTGCCACTCATTCTACTGGATAAACCAAAATGACGGGTTTCCTTTGCAGAACACACTGTAATTCCATCAGTTTACTCTGAACATCCAAAGGACTTCCAGAGCTAAAAGCCATTGCTACCAGAACAAGGAACCTGCTGGTTTTGGGTGGGTTACAGCCAAGCAGGCCGTGCTGGTGCAGTGTTACAGTCCCAGCAGTGTCTTTGCCTCCTCACTCTGTGCCAGGAGGGTCTCACTGGCGTATTTCTGGAGCAGCTCCATCTTCTTCCTCCGCACAAGGGCTTCCTCAATCTGCAGAGAGAGAAACAGCACAGCATTCAGCTGAACTGGGATGCTGACACCCAGGATGCTCAGCTACAGACAGGAGGAAGGAACACACAGGAAACAGCCTGGGAAAGGCCTGTGTACTACTGGAAAAGTAGTGGAACTATGATGAGTCAGGAGTATCCTTTTTAATGCTCAGATGAAGCTCCTGGAAGTCAAAAGAAGCAGTAAAACAGATGCCTGTTTCTGATCTGTGCTCCTAGCCTTGTAATCAGGGTGTTAGCTGCCATTCCATTTTGGTCTGTTCCAAATGATTCCCTCAGATACAGCTGCAAGAGATGCAGAACTCGTGTGTCTGTGCCACAGGAGTCCACACCTCTGAACTAACACTTTGTGAGTGTGCCCTTCCCATCAGCAGGGCCAGGACCTCTGCCCTGCACTTTGCCTGGAGTGCCAGTGACACCTGATCCTCTGAGAAGCACCTGCTTTAAAGGTCCACTAAAAACAACCTGCACGACTTGCTTTAGTCTCAGTAATGCTTTGATATTTGTCCAAACTGCACACAGCATCTCTCCAAAGAAGTGCTGTGAACCTTGATTTTTAGTAATTCAGAATCTAGGAGGCATGATCCTGTAGGGCATGAGGTATGGAGTGATTTGCCACTAAAAAAGAGAAACAGCTACATAACTCCAGAACCTTTTTACCTGGGCTGTGCTTCAAACAACCTGTCTGTGAAGGTAATAAATATCCTAGAGCAGTTTCAAAATATAACAGTCAATTCAAGGTCATGCCACCAAAATAATTTTAGAAAACTTCCGAGAACAAAGCCTGCAATTAAGAAATCATCCCATTACATTTTAAAAAAAGCAGACCATCAGCAGAAAGGCACAGTGAAGATATAGCAGGCAATCTGGTTATTGATCATAGCCCCACAACGCTTTCCAATTTATGGAATATTGATGAAGGTTTTGGAAATTCTCAGGTGAAAAGTGTTATAGCAACGTACCACAACACAACCACAGTATTTGCAAGAGAAATAAACAGCTGCAGACAAATAACCAATTTAGGGCACTATTACTGAAGTGAAGATCTGCCTTGCAAAAGCCAGTGTGCATCTCTGCAACCCAATTTTGTTATGTCTTACCTCCTGCTGAGTTGGCACAGGAACATGTGCAATGAATTTCTGTTGGCCTTCTTCTCCTTCTCTTTCCTTGGCACCTTCCTCATCAGACTAAAAGGTGAACAAATTAAGGCACATCAAGTTTATTTTCTATAGAGGTCATTAAAAAAAACCCTTTTTACTTGCTTTGTCAGAAGGAAGCAGATAGAGCACGATCAACACTACAAACACAGGAAGCAGGTGAAGAGGTCTGAACACCAAAGGAATATGACAAGGATCACATCCAGATCCTGCTCCCTGACATTTTCACAATTACTGCTTCCACTGTTCATATGGCCTTTGCTCTGCTGGATGTAAAGCTCTATTTCCTCCTCTTCCATATCTCAGGTTGCCACAGCAAAGCTATAAACAGGAGAGGAGCCAGCTAACCAAGAAGAAAGCAAGTGCTTTAAAAATATAGGTACCATTTCCTTGTCAGCTCTGAACTGCTTTGTCTCACACCTGAGAGCTCATGAATCAGGAGACAATAGGTTTTGCTAAGCAGTGGGACATGAACAGCATAAGTAGCTTTGGGGACAGGATACTGATGCAGGCTGGACCTACAAGCACAGCTGACCACAGCACCTTGACAAACAGAATTCCAGGCAGTGCCAGTTAAATCACAGCCAGGGCTCAGCAGCTGGTTCTCACTTGAATGAAAGGTCTTCCCCAGGTGCCAACCCTCAGTGCTCTCCAAACTTGGGCCAAGTGTACTCACTGCTGAGCAGGGCCAGTGGTGCAGTTGGTCAGTGCAGAGAAGGGCAGGGCACAGCACACAGGCTCTCAGCACAGTAACACCACATCCAAGAAGGCAGCAGAGAAGGTACATGAAATGTCACTTCACCTTGGCCATCACTTACCTCATCTTCATTGACAGCATAGATATTTTCTTCCTCCTCCTCCTCACCTCTTGCAAGTCGCGCTTCCCTCTCCATTTTCCATTTTTCCACTGCTTCTGCTATAACTGGTTAGCAAAGGACAATGGCAAGTGTATCTGAGAGCCAGTCCAAGCAGCATGGGCTGATTCCCAAAGCCTTTTTTAAGTGGACTTAAAACTTCTTGCCTAAATCCTCCATATCAGTAACACACATTTACTGTAGAACCTCAGTGTACCATCTATAAAACACAACAGTGTATCTGAGCAAAACCCACCATGGCACTGCCAAACTCGCCAATGCCTCAGTTTGGGTGCATTTTGGGCTCTGTATGTCATGGATAAACACCAACCTACTTTCTGAACTGAGGAACAGGGTCACATGGCCAGGCTCAGTGGCTGTGACAGCTCTGAAGTGTGTCAGCAGCTCTAGGGATGCTGATGTTGTTAATTAAACATGATTATGCTCCTTACAGCGACACACACGCTTTTTTATCTCAGAGTGTATTTCTCTTACATTGCAGCACTATCCCAGTTCTGTACCTCACTGCTAGCTGGAAGCTGTCAGGCTGCTGCACCTCCACTCCAGCAGTGCTAGTAAGGGCCAAAAGAAGTTGTTTTTTCAATACTTTGTTTCATAAAAACTTCACTTCACTTACCAAGGTAAAAACCACAAGAGCCCAGCCACGCAGTGACCCAGAGAGACCCCAGGTCTTGTGCACTGACTGTAGGCACGTGGGTAAATTGTATTTACTGAGAAAAATAGATTTCAAAGGAGAAAATATTCACCAATGTGTTGAAGTTCTAATACAGATGACATGGATAAATTAACACAGGCCACCTAGACTTCAGGGTTTCCAGAAGGCCTCTCTAATCTCCCAAAAAACCAAACAGCTACGTTTATGGATAAATAAATAATGAGGTGAGACAGGAAACACAAGGGAGGGAAATAACTGCTGGAGTCCCACAGATCTCATTGCTGCAACCTACTCTTTTTTGCAGTCTTAAGCCTGAAAAAAGTAGGGAAAAAAGGAAATTTTCCTTCACTACTGAAGGACTTGCTGACAATATTAAATCATTACCAGTAGTAAAGATGGAAGTCAACACACCTCCAACCTGAAATGCCTGACACAGTGACCTGGATACCTGTGTGACAGACCAACTCAGCCTGTGGATACCTATGTGACAACATGCACAGGGACAAAGAAAGGTACCTTGACTTCAGGGTCCACCACCCCCTCCTTGGGCTGCAGAACCCCACCCACCTTTCTTCTCGTGCTCCTGCTCCAGAGGCTCCAGGATGCCGTCGTCCTCGTCCCTGTAGCCGTAGTACTCAGCATCGATGTCCTTCATGAGCTCAGCCCGAGTTTTCCGTGGGGGTGGGAGGGCTGCAGGAACACCCTGTCACTCACCAGCTCCATCCCCATCACTGTGCACTCCCAGTTCCCATCACACCTCCCAGCACGACCCAGCCTTGGGCACACTGGCATTTCCCCATCCCACACACCAGTTCCAACACACCACCCAGTGCTTCCCCCAGGCCAGGGGGTACTTCCCAGAACTCCTCTTTGCAGATGGCAAGAAGGACCTGGTTCAGAAGCTGCCTCACTTTCAGGCCCAAGCAACTGCCACTCATTCTCTGACAAATCAATAGCTTTATCCCTCACATCTAGTTTTTCCTGTTATGAAAGCTGATTCCTGCTCCCAAACTTGTGTTCAACCCAGCTTCCCCTTTTCCTTCTTTTTTAACCTCTGAGCTCTCCGTGCTATTTGGAAGTTCCTGTTATGCTGGAAAGGTTCTATAGGACCTCAGTCCTTATCACTTGGAACTCCCAGCAGAAACCCGTTTACTCTTTCCTAGGTTCCTTTACTTGCAAACAGCCAAAGGTGTTCTTTGCCCAAAAAACCACCATTCAACTACTTGTGCTCAGAGTTTCATTCCTCTGACCTAACACACAGCCCAGAAATGCTGTTCCCAGCACTCCCCACAAACCACAGCAACGTTTGACTCGAGGCACCCTCCAAGTCCTGTCTGGGAGGAGTTGCTCTTTACTTACGCTCCTTTTCAAAGAGCTCTCGAACTCCTGGTAAATCCTTTGCAGCTCCAAAATATTTGTAGCCCCTGTTCCCTGGAACTTCCTTCCCTTCATGATCCAACATTTTCGGTCCAATCCGCTGGAAAACAAACAAGAGTTTAAAATTTTCTTCTAACAACAACCAAGCACTTTCAGGGGCTGCATAAAGATCCTCTCTGACAAACACTGGCCAAGGCACACAAGGTTAACCAAATGTTGCACAGATTTTTAGCAGCAGTCACTTCAGTTGTAAGCAGAACAACCAAGCAGTACAACACACTGTACACTCACAGCATAGTCAGGGCCTCCCAGCTCCTTTATTCTGTATTCCCAGTGTCCTTTCTCCCTCAGAAGTTTGTTTATTTCATCATTCAGGTCCCGAATTCTGAATTCACCCAAACCAGCTGTTAGAGAGAAAAAAGCCAGTAAATTAGGCAGCTCACTAGAAGCACCAAAGCAATGTCAGAATTTATGCAATGGAATCAACATAATTCACATGAGATATGATTTTTACTGAAATGGCTTAGGACTGGAGACTCAAAAAGATAAAACATTATCAGGAAAATCTTACCATTCTGAATCTGTGCCACTTTCTTGGAAATCTCCCCAATGATCTAGTCAAATAAGAAGACAGAAATTAATCTCTGAGGAAAACCTATCTTCAGTGGAGAACATAGAGCCAGATTGAGAGGTGCATGACAATAGGACAAGTAGCAACAAAACACAAGTTGAAACTGTTAAAATTCTGAATAAATTCAATTAAGAAGGTAATCAAACACTGGAACAGTGGCCCCAAGAAGCTGTGGAATATAAAATCCTTGAAGATATTTAAGTCCCACTGGACCTCAGTTGGACATGGCCCTGGGGCAACTTAACCTGCTTTGAACAAGGTAGTGAACTGTCTGATCTTCCCATCTAAATCACTCTGTGATTAACTGTCAGTGTACTGAGGAAAATGAGAAGACTTGTAAGCAGGCTGCTGAAATGGAAGTGCCCAAGTTCCACCTCCCAGAGAAGCAGGAAGCCCCCAGGCTGCCATTACCTGTCGCCTCCACTTCTCAGCCTTGGGCAGCTCATTGCACTCGGACGCCAGGAAAGGTCTGCGCTCCTGTGACAGACACACAGCAGGGTTAGCCAGGAGCACACAGCCCTGCCTGCCACACAGCCCTGCCTGCCACACAGCCCTGCCTGCCACACCAGGACCCACACAGCCCTGCCTGTCACACAGCCCTGCCTGTCACACAGGACCCACACAGCCCTGCCTGCCACACAGCCCTGCCTGTCACACAAGGACCCACACAGCCCTGCCTGCCACACAGCCCTGCCTGTCACACCAGGACCCACACAGCCCTGCCTGCCACACAGCCCTGCCTGCCACACAGCCCTGCCTGTCACACCAGGACCCACACAGCCCTGCCTGCCACACAGCCCTGCCTGCTACACAGCCCTGCCTGTCACACCAGGACCCACACAGCCCTGCCTGCCACACAGCCCTGCCTGCCACACCGCCCTGCCTGCCACACAGCCCTGCCTGCCACACAGCCCTGCCTGCCACACAGCCCTGCCTGCCACACAGCCCTGCCTGCCACACAGCCCTGCCTGCCACACAGCCCTGCCTGCCACACAGCCTGCCTGCCACAGCCTGCCTGCCACAGCCTGCCTGCCACAGCCTCTGCCTGCTCACACAGCCCTGCCTGCCACAGCCCAGCCTGCACACCTGCCTGCCACACAGCCCTGCCTGTCACACAGGACCCACAGCCCTGCCTGCCACACAGCCCTGCCTGCCACACAGCCCTGCCTGCCACACAGCCCTGCCTGCCACACAGCCCTGCCTGCCACACAGCCCTGCCTGTCACACCAGCTCAGCCCAGACACCCCACCAAGCCCCTGCGCCTTCTGCTCCCACTGCTTCTCAGCAAGTGGAAAACAACAATGGTTCACAGCCCTGCCAAACTGAACTATCACAGAATATAAAAAGCTACTTAAACACACTCTATCCAAACCAAAATCTATCACCTGTTTTTGCAAAACACCCCACAGTCCTCTCCAACACAAAGAACATTCCATTTTGGACAGTTTCACCATTTTCAGCACACTAACAGCTCAACAAAATCCACTGTCTTCCAAGAAGAGGTTCAGTTTAAGCCTGTCCTTCTCAATTGCTACTACCTAAATAATCTGTTCTTTTCCAAGATGATTTTGTTTTGTATTCCAATAGTTCATCTTACTCTGGGACCCTGTGTGTGCAGTTATTTTGTCCCTTTCCCCACAGCACTTTCACACCTCTACCTTTTATCTATCTAAAAAGCCTTTCTCTACATAACATATCAGAAACTCTATTCCATCTTTCTCTCTGCCTGTTGTTCATGGAATCTTTACCACTACGGTTTCTCCAAACTGTCATTTTTCACTTTCCTGCTTCATATTGCTCACTTACAAACCTCTCCAAAAAGTTTACTGAGAACACTCTGATCCTCACATAAATATTCTTGCACTTTGAGTTCTGATTTGGTGAAATGTGTTCAGGAAAATCCAGAGATACTTGGGAATCAGGTTCTGTGCAATGCTATTTCTTTTGTTATAGTGGTGGGGTTTTTTTAAACTACAAAGTCCATTTTTTTATCAATCTGACAGCAATAAAAACAAATCCCCATGACAGTGAAGCCCATCATGACCAGCAGCACAGCTGTGACGTGCTGGGTTAACAACATCCCAACACCGCCTCATGGGAGTCTGGAGCTCAGGGACCTTGAAGGCCTCTGCTTTGTGGTTGCCCTTTTGTCAGAACATCCCCAACAGATGAGATGATGAGAAGGATTTCTCTGCTTCTGGGAGGAAATCCAAACCAGCCTTGTGATTACTGTCAGTGTTGGTGCATCCATTTGCCTGGCCCCTAACCCAGACACAGCTCTGTCCAGGGCCTGCATTCCCCTCTGAGCAGAGCTAACAAACCTTCAGAGCTTTCCCATCCTACCTTCACTTTTCCTTCCTCGAGCTGGGCTTGCCGAAACCTCGCCAAGGCCGTCCTGAAGGGGAGAAAGGAAGCAGATTTACTTTTACAAACCCACATTCCAACAGGAACATGCTCTGAATGCTTATTATGGACTTCATTACAGACCACAGAAAACAAAGGCTTGAACACATTCACTGACCACCTCTGGCTCTCAACAGCAGAAACCACCAGCAGTTCATGTCTTAGAAAAACATAAATCCCAATTATTCTTTCTGTTCAACATATGCCATGATATTGGGCATTAGCAGCAAAAGGACATGAACAGTTAGAAACAGAAGCATTAAGTTTAGGGGATCTTAGCAGGGATGCCTCAAAAAGCAAACAAAAATCGCAGTGGGAAAAAGCTCCATGCAGTAAAGCAGCAGTTGGTAACCCAGTCCATCAGCAGAACCAAAATATTCCCAGTCTCTCAGAGCTGAGTAGAGACTACACACGCTCCATTTTCCAGCAGTTTGATTTATTAGACACTTAATAGTTATGTTAAAAAGCACAGAACAGTTGAGCACATTCAGTACCAGCACACCTACACCCAAGCCAGCCACCCAGGCCTTATCTGCTGCTAAGAGCCCTTTCCAGAATTAAAAACCTGGAAACTTTTCATCCCAGTCCAATGAAGAGGTACTGGATGGGATCACTAACAGCACCTCCTGAGGTACTAAACAGCTGTGGGCTCTGCAGCCCTCACTGAGTTACTGTTACAAGCTCAGAAAGTATTTTAGGAAAAAGAACAAAGAGGAGACAAATATACCAAAGAGCCTCTAATGCAGATGTTTTAGATGTGTGGGCTCCAACCCTTTTCAAAAACTCCTTGGGAAAGCCAGCACAAAAATAAATTTGTTAAAAATCACTGGTTTAGCCCAAGCCACTCCCAAGCAGGAATTATCCTTAAAGCAATGCTGACAGATTCCTATCTGGTCTGGCATCTCTGTTCCAAAACTGAGACTGCCCAAAGGCATAAGGGGCCCTTGGAACATATTGCAGTGTACTCATCCCCCAGCCCCACTGCAGTGTCTGTCCTGCACAGAACCACCCAGCACAGCTCTGAGGGCTCCACAGCCCTGCTCTCCCCAGTGCCTCTGGAGCAGCATAGGTGCAGCTAAGCACCCACAAGCATCAATAAACTTGTGGTGCTTTAACACAGGCTGAGCAGCGAGTCCCACGGGGGCAGCGTGGCTCTGTCTGAACCAGGTGCAGCCACGGCCAGAGCGGTGAGAGCAGGTGCAGCCGGGGCTCACAGGAGCTCGCACACAGTCCGGCCGTGCCGCCACACTCACATGGCCTTCTCCGCGTTCCGCGCCTGCAACACAAACAACAAACGGGCGTCGGTCACGGCCGGGCCCGCTCTGAGCGCCGGCAGGGCCGGAGGGACCCGGGCCCGCCGCGACCCCCTCAACGGGGAAAGGCACCGGGGGCAGAGGGGGCCCCTCAGCCCAGCCCTGCACTCCCCATGGCCCTCAGTCCCTCATTCCCCATGGTCCCTCACCCCGCATTCCCCATATCCCCACACTCCCCATGGTCCCTCACCCCACACTCACCATGGTCCCTCACCCCACACTCCCCATGGTCCCTCACCCCACACTCACCATGGTCCCTCACTCCTCACCCCCACCACTCCCCATGGTCCTCCTTCACCCCACACTCCCTGTGGTCCCTCGCCCCACACTCACCATGGTCCCTCACCCCACACTCCCCATGGTCCCTCACTCCCCTCACCCACACTCACCATGGTCCCTCACTCCCCTCACCCCACACTCACCATGGTCCCGCAGTTCCTCGCTCCGTCTCTCCCTGCACCGGAAGTGCCGCCGTGCCCCGGATCTGCTCCCGCGCGGCCCCGCCCCCCGCACTGCGCCTGCGCGGCCCTCCCGCCGCGCTAGGGGTTAGAGGCGCGCGCCTCTCACCGCGCGTGCGCAGGGCACGGCGCGGGCAGCGCGCGCTCATGGCGGGAACGGGAATGGGGAAAGATGGAACAGACCCCAAACATCACCCAGGGAATGGGCGAGATGGAACAGACCCCAAACATCACCCAGGGAATGGGCAGAGATGGAACAGACCCCAAACATCACCCAGGGAATGGGCAGAGATGGAACAGACCCCAAACATCACCCAGGGAATGGGGGAGATGGAACAGACCCCAAACATCACCCAGGGAATGGGGAAAGATGGAACGGACCCCAAACATCACCCAGGGAATGGGGGGAGATGGAACAGACCCCAAACATCACCCAGGGAATGGGGGGAGATGGAACAGACCCCAAACATCACCCAGGGAATGGGCGGAGATGGAACAGATCCCAAACATCACCCAGGGAATGGGCAGAGATGGAACAGACCCCAAACATCACCCAGGGAATGGGCAGAGATGGAACAGATCCCAAACATCACCCAGGGAATGGGCAGAGATGGAACAGACCCCAAACATCACCCCAGCGCACGGACCCCTCCCACAGACCGGGCTGCTCCAAGCCCCGTCCAACCTGGCCTTGGACACTCCCAGGGATCCAGGGGCAGCCGCAGCTCCTCTGGGCACCCTGTGCCAGGGCCTGCCCACCCTCCCAGGGAGGAATTCCTTCCTAACATCGAACCTTAACTTCCCCTTCCACAGTTCGAAGCCGTTCCTGTTGGCTGTCACCACAGTTCCCGATGGACAGTCTCTCCCTGGTTCCCAGGAGCCCCTTCAGACATGGGAGGGGGCTCTGAGGTCTCCACACACCCCTCTCCCCTCCAGGCTGAGCAGCCCCAGCTCTCCCAGGCTGTCCCCACAGTCCTCTGATTAACTTGGTGGCCTCCTCTGCACCTTGCCCCATCAGTGTCCTCCTGCCGGGGACCCCAGGACTGTTCCCAGTGCTCCAGGGGGTCTCACAAGAGCAGAGCAGAGGGGAGAACCCCCTCCCTGGACCTGCTGCCATGTCCCTTTGGATCCAGGACCCCGCTGGCTTTCTGGCCTGCAAGCCCACACTGTGTTAGTGAAAAAAACAAACTCAACATAGAACAAATGAACAATGATGAAAATCAACAAGGTTTGATTTTTCCAAGTCTCCACAATTTACAAAAGTCACAATTTGCTTGTCCATCTCTTGTTCACCTGGGAACAACTGACCCTGGAACAGCAGCACCAGTACTCTCACTGAAGATGACCAGGAAGAAGCATCTCTGTTGGAATCATTTTCTGCTTTTTGAACTTGCATTTCTCAGCTTTCAACTACTGTTTTCTTTGTTAAAAAAATTCTTACAGGAAAGCACTTTTTTAGCTACATGTCCCAGACTCTTCAGGTCTTTGTCATCAGAGCTTCAAGCTGTATTACTGTTTAACCAAGATGTACGTAAAGACTCATTAATTTATATTAACCCACCAAGCTAAACATGCCTTTGCTGGGCCATCTGCACCACCCCAAGATAACCCACACATTTCAAGTGTGGATTTTAGGAGGGGCTTAGCAACCATGAGTAGGATTCAAGGATACATTCACGCTCGGACAGCAGCTACTGAGAGAAAAACAAAGAAGAAACTTCCTACACCTTTATGTCACACTGAGCAGGCAGGAGCAAGCACTTGGGATTCTCTTCTGCTTGGGCCAAGCAGTGCCACAACACTCCCCATTTGAGAGCTTCAGATCAAGGCAGTTCTGCCAACTCTGTGCCCTTCTGCTCTGCAGCACCAACCCAGCCCCCTTACACCTTACCTTCTCACCATCTTCTCCCTGAACTACAGCTGTTTTTCACAGGTTTTGAAAATCAAACCTAGGATGAAACTTCAAGATCTTCATAAATCTTTTATTTAATTAAACATTAAGGAACTCTGAATTGCCAAGGCAGCCCTTCACAAAACCACCACAACCTGGCCAGAGTTCACCTGCCACGACACAGCACTGTGACCATCAGTTTTCTCAGACACACATATTTTAGGTATCAGATTTCCTGACACACCTCAAGATTACCAAGTAGGGTATCCATTTTATAGGTTCCAGCACTCCCAGGTAAGTCTCCTCACTGGGATCTTTTAGTTCAGCAAATGAGAAGTCCTCAGCCCTTCTGCAAAGCCTCACTCTGTGCCAGTGTGCTGAAAGCTCCCAGCTCAAGTTGTTCCTGAAGATGACAACCTTCAGGACCACCACTGAATGGCTGTGACACTGTGAACAGCCTCGCTTCCCAAATTAACAAAACGTTAACCTGATATGAACTGGGTAAATGCAGCACAGCTGTAGGAGACGAGTGACAGTGCCAGTTCAGCTCTGCTCCAGCAGAGCTGCAGACTGACAGCTCGGTACTTCTCTCCAGACCAACCTCACAACCCATCTTCCACCACTACAGCACACTCTCCCTGATCCCAACTGCACAGATCCCACAGGATGTGCCAGAGCTTGGGGGCACACAGTGGCTCAGAGACACTGCCAAGCCAGATCTTACAGCAGCTGTTGGACACCCCTTCCCCAGTCCTGCCTTACAGATGGGCCAACAACTCCTGCACAACCAGCTTTGCTCCTGCAGGGAGGGGATGTGAAGGTACAGAGTCAGCTCCCTTTCCATCCATGGAACTGTTCAGTGATCAGCACAGCACACCCAGCCACAGACACAGCCACTGCAGAGGCTTTAAGGGACAGTTCCCATTGCAGTGACAGCAGTGCAGGCTCAGGTACTGCCAACAGAACCAACTGCTCCAGGCCCACCTCCCAGAGCCCACAGCTCACTCCCATGGCCATCTGCACACCACACATTTCCAGCTGGATGGGAACTGAACATATGACAGGACAAAAGAAAAGTCCAAACTGAACCTCCACATACCCCTTTTTAATATGTTATTTTGCACTGTGTACAGGAAAACCAAAAATAAACAAAAGGAACTTTAGCCAAACTCCCCTTCCTCCTCCAGCTTTATTGATAGTTTAAAATTACATTTTCTATGTTCTAGGACTTCAATTGCTCTTACCATCTTACTTTAAAAACTGATTACAAGCAAATGAAACTCAGTTGTCTAAGTGATATAGTATACAAAAATAACATCTTGATTTCTGTGAAAATGCATTTATTTGCAACTCCTGAATAGCTCCAAATTGTATATGCTATGAGCACTGATGTCTGGGTTTCAGATTGACTTTGAGATATTTATTCAAAAGCTTCCCATTACGTTCTGTATCTCCAACATGAACATTCACTGACTGAATTACTGTTACTTTTAAGATTGATTTCAGATTTCTCTCTCTCTCTCATGGCCATTAACAGGCATGTGCATCTTGTTTGTTTACTCCCACTCAGCTATATGCTCTAGGTAGGGCCTGATGCAGATATCACTTGGTGTTAACAGCTACTGAGGTCAGACAATCCAAGGCCATTGTAATAAAATAAAAGTTATGAGGAAGTTTAGACACTTCCAGAATTTCTTTCCTCCTGCATAGGATCACTTCCCTGTAACCCAGAGAGGGTTTTTGCTGGTCTGACTCAACTCTTCCCACTCATCAATCCCTATTCACCAGTGGCACGGAAAGGGGGTTCTTTAACAAAGCATTATACATAACACCTCTACCAAACTAAACATAAACATTTTTGTAGTTAAATGCAGAAAGTTGATTTTTCCACCCCTTTCCTCCTTTTACACGGCAAGTAAAGCTCACTGGCCTGGGAGTAGCCTCTATCTGCCAACCTTTGGCCAGTGAAGAGGATTCAGAGAAAAATAATACAACCATCAATCAGAAAAAGGAGGGGCGACAAAGGAAAATAATTAGGCTGTAGCTTCAATTGTGCATTCCCGTGCAAGGTGCCCTGACTCGCCGCAGCGGTAGCAGTTGACTTCGCTGGTCTTGCTGCAGTTGATGGCTACGTGGCCAGTTTCACCACACCTGCAAAGGAAACAGTTCATCAGAGCCACCCACAAGCAGCAGCCCCACCCTGTCAAGTACATGATCTGCTTCAGTTTCATGCAACGCTAGTTCTGCAGTCTAGACTTCTGTTCCTGTGTCCCAGAATTCTTTGACACGAGGGAATTTTGTCTTAACCACAGCCAGAACTGTTCCCAAATGATCAGCTCACATTAGTCACTGGGTATGCCAAAATCACTGTACATCAAATACAGAAAAATTTGGGTGGTTCGGGTTTTCCCCCCCTCGTTTTTTTAACTGTGGGCTGGGTTTTGCCTTCTCCCAGTGATTCTGCCTGCAGTGTAGCTTTGTTTTGAGAGTTATTAGATTAACTTAAATACACCATGTTCTCTCTCCTTCCTCCACAGAAGGCAATGTTGGTGGAGGTGAAGAATACTGCACTCAGGAACACGCTGTTTCTGGTGTATGCCTGCATTCAAAACCCAGACAGCACTCTGAAGATGGCATTTCAAACCAGTTCAACACCCACTTCTATCCATGTTCCTCTAACCAAGACAACTTAGTGTGCTCCTCCTGGGGCTGGCTGTGCCAGTCAGCTGACCTTTACAGCTGAGCTGTGTTAGCTCTGGGTGACACACTGCACACCCAACCCCAGCAGGTCTGTGCTATGGGCAAGTATCTCCTGGTACCTTCTGCAAAAGGACACGGCCCTTCCTCCTGTACAGCCCAAGAGATTTAACACTGCACTGTGAGGCCATGCAGAGATGTGCACCATGGTATCTGTACTCCCCTTTGCTAACAGGTGTGCAAGTCCCAGCTAACTATTCTAAGAAACTCGCTCCTGGCCAGAGCTGAGGCTGCATTTCAGCCCCAGAAGGCCTCTGTCCCTGGAGGTGCAGTGCAGCTCACCTGTAGCATTTCACTTTGGTGCAGTCTTTCTGAATGTGGCCGAACTCCCCACAGGAGTAGCACTTCTGCTCGTCGGCGTGGTCGCAGTCACGGGCCAGGTGGCCGGGCTTGCCGCAGTTGTAGCAGCACTGCTCCCGCTCCCGCTTGGGCTCCTTGCAGTCCTTCGCAATGTGGCCACTTCTTCCGCAGTTATAGCAGGCTTCCACAGTGGGAAAAACACACCAAACAGACTATAAAACCTTGGTAGCACCAGGGGCAGCATGTTCTGAATGGGGCACAGCCCCAGCCTGCTCCCAGAGAACCCTGCAGCCTTCTCCTCAGCCACTGAGCTCTGCCCGGCACTGCAGAGTCGAATATTTAGTGATACTTACCATCCTCCTGGAGATCACAGTCCTTGGCCAGGTGGCCAGACTCTCCACAGCGGTAACAGATATCCGGCAGAGAGGAGGACATGAACTGGAAGCCTGCTTGAAACGGGTACAGGAAGGGGAAAAAAAGAGGCTCAAGTTCAGAATAATTCTTAAGATTCAATCACTAACACTGTCAGCTGAACTGACAAGTCAGCTTCGCTCTGAGAACCTCTGCCACAGTTCTTCCACGGAGGTACATCTCCCTGGTCCTTATCACCAATCTGCAGGTCTGACAAGGCCAGTTTTACACACTGTCCCCAGCACTCAGCTGGAGACCCTGCTCTACAAACACACACAGCCACAGCCAGCACTCACCTCTGCCACGGCTCCTCATGCCACGGCCACGGCCGATGCCAGACGGGCACTCCCGGGCCCAGTGGCCGCTACGGCCACACTTGAAGCACTCGTTGCTGCTCATGGCTGCAGATCACCTGTCTGAGCAAGAAGAACATTTTAAAACACCTTCTCCTCCCCCAGCCAAAGGCCACACTGAAATGACAGACTCAGAGGTTTCCCACCCCCAGCAAAGCAATGCAAACCCAACAGACTCATGGCTAACTCAACACTTCTCTGCAGTATCTGATCATGACTACTGAAGCTGCTGTGAAACTACTTTGCTTGAAGTAAGGCAACTTAGAACAAAGAAACTGTGCTATGTAACTTTCCCTCTCACTCCCTTTTGTAGCCAACCTTCACTTCAAGAACTTATAAAATACTTGGGGAGAGGGAAAAAGTAAAGCCCTTTAACTACTGTATTACCAGCCTTAATGTTGATCTCTCTTTCAGTAAAACTTTCCTCCTCAACCCTGTGAGTTAAAATCAAAAGCAGCTATTTAACTCTACCAGTTGTTACACCTTCTTTTACAGTCTGCCTAGCAGCTACTACCTTTACTGACTAATCAAGCTTCACTCTAGAAGCTCAGTGTTAAGAATAGGCAGCATTAAAGAACACATCAGCCCAATGTCCTTTACAACCTAACTAACAGTTAGAAAAACAATAATTACAATTTGTAATTAACCTACAGCTCAGGCTGCATATTCCACTCCCAGGTTCACATGAAAGAAAATGTTTTAAGACATCAGGCTTCCCAAAGGACAGCAGACTCTTGCCAGATATGTAAAAGGGCTGACTTGGAAAACATCCTTAGAATGCTCTGGAAGCAACAGACAGACAGGCCTGTCCTACAGCACAACCCCAACCGGCAAATGGAGGCGAGCAGAGCCAGCCTGCACAGCCCACGGAGGCCGTGGGCAGGATGGGGCAAGGCAAACACACAGCCACACCTCCCTCGAGCTGTGGGACACTTGCACAACACTTCCATAGCTACAGCAGAACAGGAAGGCACACATTTAAACTGGAGTGGTTTTTAAAGTATGTTTGAAGTTTAAAGTACACTAGTGTAAAAATATGCATGTCAAGCATTGTTTTGATGAAGTCTCCTGAAGTTTAAACACCTCACAAGCCATCTCCCAATTCATTATTTTAACCCAACAGAAGTACAATTGTTACGTGGTATGTTTAGCAATTTACCTGACCCCTCATCACGATAATCCCCCGTAACCCTACAGTTCATATTCATTACAGAACACTCCTCCTCCCAGACCATCCAGCATCCCAGATTACAGCAGCAGTCGGGGGCAGAGTCTTGACAAAAGTCACTACAGGAGCAGCACAATGACACATGACCTCAAGAAGGAACCAGAATTAGCATCCTGACATTTAGCTCTTAAATGGAGAGCATGTATCTAAACATGAATTTTAGTTACCTCTACCCTAACGTTTACCAAAGTTACTCTGGCTTTTTATCCACTCCTCCCTCAAAACAGATCCTCTCTCCGATGGTCTTCAGCACTCAAGTGATTCTTCCAACCACAGTATATGGCTCTAACTTCCAGCTGGACCAGATGATGATATCTGCCCTTAAAATTAAGTTCTGCAATGAAAGGGTGCAGTAGGATCTCAAACAGATCCAAACAAGACTAAACCAACTGGCTGTCCAAGCACTGAAGAGATACCCCTGATTTTCCAGCTAACCCAGTCTTCTCTGCTCCGTGTCAGTGCCCAAGGGTCCCAAGGGGCTCCTGAGGACAGCCAGCCCAGCACTGCCCGCTGTGGTGGCAGCAGCTGGCACTCACTGGGCCATTGTTTACGCCTGTGTTCATAGCAACCATGTTGACACTGCACAACAGGCAAAACACAGGCAAAGCCAACTGCAAGAGCTGGGCTCAGGCACAATACTTGATGCTGTTTCTAATTTTCAAGAGGGACGAGATGGGGGTCTCTGACATATATACTCTTCACTCACAACTCTTCCGGAAAGTGTTCACGTGAAAACATTATCAAATGGCAACATATGATCTGTTATAGACAGCAAACCAGCATGGCAGCAGCTGCAGCACATCTTAACAGGCATTAACTACCAGACCTCACTCCATGAACCCGAGACTATGGCACAGTGACCCAGCACTGGATCCTGCTGGCAGCTCCCCACAGAACCAGTCAGCTTAAACACATGGCAAGAGAGAAATGCCTAACAGGTGAGCCAGCCCTGCTTCAGATGCACAGGGGAGGAGTTCTGATACCAGGGCCAATGGCAGCCTACCTCCAGGCTGTCCATCTGCCAGTCCGGGGCAGGACCTGCACCAGGGACAGAAGCTCACCACTCACTGCCCTAAGGAGTCTCAAAGTTGTACATCTGCTTCAGAGTTCCTTCCTTTATAACTGCCCCTTCACAAGGAAAACCTGAAGTCTCCTTTTCTCTTTCTCTCAGCAAAATGGCAAAGATTACACCAACTGAGTAAGAAATCTAAAGTCAACAGTCTCTGCAATCATCCTTTGAGACTATTGGAGATTCATTTAGAAACCTTTATCTCCAGAGGCCCCTTTTTCCCCTGAACTCAGAGGTACTGGAAGGTTTCAGCTGCCATACAAGTGTGATTACAAAGCACACTCCTCTATCTTCAGAGATCTTCAGCACATCCAAGTACCCAAGAGTTTGCCTGAGGTTTTTCTTCCCCTGGTATTTCCATGTTTAGTTCTGCATTCTGCCTGTAAAGGCTCTGAACCTCAGCACATGTTCAGTAGCCAGACGTGGCTGCAGCTGACACTGGTTTTCCTTGCCCCACCTTCTAAAAGCCTTCCCCCGGACAGAATTGCCCAGCAGTGTGAACCATAAGGATTCAGTTTCCAGAGGAAGCCAACAGCCACCTTGAAGGAGTAATACCCAGAAAAGGTTGGTTCAGAAGACAAGTCCTTAAATGGACAGCCTCCAAGCACTTTGGACACCATTGCAGCTTCACTTCCAAGAGAAAAAAAATGAGTGCACTAAAAACCACCCAAGTTCAAACGCTCCTCTATTAGTCAATACTCTTCCATTTTGTCATCACAGGCAAGTTTCCAGCAGTTCCTTTTATCTATCAAGGCCACCTTAAGTAAGCCTTCTGCAAGAAAGCTACTTAAGTCTGCTTGGAAACTTTTCAGTCGCAGCTCTCAGTGCTGTGCCCAGCTCAGATGTGTTTCACAAAGCAGCCTGTCCTGTCTGTCCATGTGTCATCGGCCCCACCCCCCTCACATACCAGAGCGAGATTTTTACCTCACCGGGGCAGGAAAAGCAGTAATGGAAAACAAATTACAACTGTGGCCTCATGTACCATTTCTGAGACAGGTCAAATTCTGCAGGATATAGTAAGGCACTGCCTCACAGAATAAGATTGGAAAACTTGTCAAAAACACAGGTCTAATTGTGCTTCTGTACCTTCCCAGAAAGAGAGAAGGCAGTAATTTACCTCAACTCCTGCTACAGAGCTCTGCAACTGCAGTTTGAAGCCACAACGTTATTAAGACTGAATTTTAGACCTTGTTCTCTGTGACGGCCCTACTGCTAAAGAGCAGGGCTGAGAACAGCTCACAGTGCTTTCCTAGGTCAGATCAGAAGCTTCTGAGGGCAAACCAAGCACCAAACTTCAAAGTTTTTTTGTTTCTTGTAGTGATGTAAGAAACCTTTGATACTAGAAGTTCTTTATATCAAACTCTGAAGGGGAAGACTGGGTCTTTCTGGGGCTTCACAGTTAATACAGACTCAAAACCCCTAGAACAGGAGAGGTGCTATTAACCTCCAGGTCTCACACACAAGATTCAGCAGTATCCGTTTTAGCAGCCCACCTAGAGCTTATGATGAATAGAAATGGCACTAAGCTCCACTTCAACACTCCTTATTTTATGGCTTTCAGCCTCGATGCCCTCCAGGGAAGATGTTGTTTTAACGAACAAAAATACAACTGACTTGGGCTCCTCATAGTAAAAAGGAAGCTGAACTTCAACCCCAAGATTAGTGACAATTCTTCTGAATATCAGCAGTTCCTTAGCATTTAACAGCCCTGTACAGCAGGGCTGACTCTTCACTGAGTTTCCCAGGTGCTTCTTTCACCCTGCAAGCACAGCCCGCAGTCAGTATCAGCAGGACTTCACCCTTCAATCAGAGCACAGAGCAGATAAAAGCCACTGCCAGAGCCAGCACATGTCAGAGCCCTTCAGCAAGTCAGGTCTGCCAGAGGCAAACATTGAGAAATCAGCAGCTCCTTTCCAGGCCCTTGGTGACCAACCTACAGCACCACCCCTGACTGGGGCAAGGCAGCCCGAGTATGGCAAACCCCAATGTGACAGGGGGCACAGCTCTGCCTTCCTCAAAGCACTCAACAGCAGAAAGGCCTGCTAACCTAAGAGCTAGCATTTAGGTGCAACACAGAACTCCAAGTACTACTCATTTTAAAGGAGGTTTTATTTCACTAGCAAGGCTAGGAATTCTCGAACACGACTGTCACCAAAGCTGAATTTCCACATCTGTAACCTAAAATCCTGCTACAGCAGAGTTAGTGATGCTCCCACTTTTGTCCTCACTAGGATGAGATACAAAAGTATTTTGACCACCAGACAACATTACCCCAATTCAGAAAGAAATCAGCTTGAAACGTCAGGAGAACCTGCAGAAGCGGAAAGACAAGCCCTCTGCTCCACGTGGGACCCCCCTGCACTGCACAGCCAGGCTGACCCAGCACCGATGAACATTAACTCGAGAGCTGAGGGGCCAGAAGCCAGGACAAAAGGACATCCTGACTTCGATTACACGGGTAATTCTTGCATAGCTCTGTTAACACAAACCAGGAAGAGAAATAAAGTTCATCCAAAAGTGACTCTGCAGCACTTTTTGCCTACCCATATGTGGAGTGGGAGAAACCACATGTACCAAACACGCACATTTTAGCCGTAAAAAATATAATGGAAGATGGTATCTGTACGAACTTTTAAAATTTAAAAAAAGTAAACAACAGGAGCAACGTGTGAAGCTTTTAACATAAAATTCCGCCCAGACTTTAGCAAGATCTGTTTAACAGGCAGGTTAAACCTGTAACACGCGGGGTTGTTGCACAGCCCCAGTGAACTCATTTAGCCTCTTCCCTCGGAGCACAGAGGCAGGATTGCCTCTCCAGGCAAGTCTGCACTGAGGAAGAGAACACGGACTACGCAACCCTAGAGCTGCGTGGAAATGGGATCACAATAGGTGCTTACAGGAAAACAAAACCCGCTATTAAATATGACAATGCTGGGTCCTATATGAGTAACAGCGGTTACTTGAGAACTACGCCCGACAGGAACTCAAATAAAAGGCCGCCCCACAGCCCGCGACGTGCAGATGGCACAGGCTGTTTTTCCTATCCATTTATAGGTCACATTTGGATTTGGAGCAGGCCACCCGTGCCTGTGGTCGGAGCAAACAGTTGCGACACCTCGACCCTGCGTCTCCGGCAGCGCCTCACACGTGGGGAGCCACGTGGTGCGCGGGCCGCGGCCCCACCGACGGGACTTTGGCGGGGACTTAAAACGAAATAAAATTAAATGAAATTAAAAACAGAGAAATACGAACAAACAGTTTAATTCCAGCCCACTCCCCGCAGCCCCCGGTCTTATACGATATCTTTTTCCCCGAACTCGCTGGCTCACGGCCGGGCCGCGCTCCCCCTGTCCAGGCCCGGGCGGCCACGTGCGGCCCTGCCCCCGCCCCGCCGCCCCGCGGGCCGAGCGTGCGGCGGCCCCGGCCGCGCCCGGGCGGAGCGGAGCGGCCCCCCCCGCACCCCGGGCGGCGCAGGCTCCCTGGATGCTCCCGGAACCCAGGCCTGACTCACCCTCCGCCGCCGCCGCCCTCGCCAGTCCCGCGGCCCCCGTCCCCGCCCGTCCCGGCCCGGAATGGCGCCCGCCCGCACTTTCCCGCGCTAGGCCGGAGTACGCCAGCGCCATCACCGCCGCGGCGCGGCGCCCACACCGCCGCCACAACTCCCGCCCCGCGCTCCCGCGGCTCCCCGGCCGCTCCCCCCCCGGGAGGTACCTGCGGTCCGGTTCCCCCCCGCGGCCGCGGCCCCCGCACGCCTCGGCCCCGCTCGCTCCTTCGCTCCGCGCCGCCGGCCCCGCTGCCTGCGCCACACGCGGTGTGCACACGGCCCCACCCGCCGCTCTGCGCACGGCTCGCCGGGGGCGGGGGGGAGCGCCCAGCCAATGGGAGCCCGGCGCTGCTCGGCGCGGCCAATGGGAGAGGGGGTGGGCGGGGGGAGAGTCCCGCGCGCGGGCGGGGGCGGCCATGGCGGCGGTGGGCCGCCTGCCCCCGGCCGGGGTGAGTCACGGCGGGGCAGCGCGTCCGCGCTGCCCCGCCGTGACTCACCCCCGGCCCGGGGGGGGGCGGCGCGGCTTCCCGCACGCACCTAGCGCTGTGCGGGGCGCGGGCAGAGTGGCAGGCCCTATCCGGGCTGAGCGCGGCGGGCAGAGCCGCTGCCCGCCCTCACGGCCCGTGAGGCGCCGCCGCCGCCATCTTGGCGGGGCGCGGGCGCCGCCGGCGCGCAGGAAATGGAGGACGCGGGGGCCGTGAGGGCTCCCCCGGGGGCCCGCAGACACGAGGGGAAGAAAGTTGTTTTGAGCGGCTTTTTAAAATTTACGCTCGGGCCCTGCGTGCCGTACACACGGCTCGGAGGTAGCGTTGCTGCTTAAGTTTAGCGCTCTGAGGGTGTTTACATAAATACTATCCCCTTGTGCCCGGGGACCTTGCGTATGAATTAGTGACCGGTTATTGCCCCGAACGCACTGCTACGTTCGTGGCCGGGCAAGTACAACACACCAGCAGCGTCCAGCATCACTCGTCATCCTTTTGTTCCAAGTCACACCGTTTATGTTTAAAAGTCTAGACCCGCCGAGCCCCGGGCTCAGGAATAAAACGTGGTGCTGATCACGGAGATGCTTTGGACTGACCTTTCCTCAAGCTGTAAATCTAATATTATAGCACTATAGTTAAGTTTCTTTTATTAGACTATGAGTAACAACGTATGTCTTTTCCTCGTGTTAAGTGCAGCTCATTTAAGATGGACTTTATGTGAGTTTATTTGTGTTTTGTGGGCTGTATCTGCATGTCTGTCTGGTATATTTATAATGAGCTGTATTTTCCACAGAGCTAAACCCACCGTGCATCAGCACCGAGGTGTGAAAAGGGGACCTATCTCTGCATATTACTCTAGAATGTCTGACAAACTTTTGCCAGGTCTTGTTCTGGCATTTTTACATTTTACATTGTTTTACAGCACTGTAAAAATACCAGCATCACCAACAAGCTTTGAACTTGTAATACTATTTTTTTTCCATTGATTACTTTTTTCATCTCTGCTGTCATGGTTCAGCATAATTTTCATTTCAGGCCTTTGGTTGCCTCAGATACATTACAATCCTGTTGCACTTTTAGTTTTTATGGCTACTCTTTCCAGGGGATACAGGGAAGAAAAATAATGTGTGTAGCTAAGGAAGTGCTCAGAGCTGCTAAATCATGAGTGTGTCTGCTCTGCAGTAAAAAAACAATCACGGAATAGATCAATGTCACTCAGAAAGGCTACAGAGACAAAATCATATATCCTCAATTTTTTCAGCAAATCTCTTTTTAAAGTACTAGAACCTGGTCTCTCTGTGAGTCTTTGTAACAGGACTCAAGAATTTCAGTCCAACAAACCAATTGTAGTTTAACTTTTCTAACTTTTCTTGTGTTTTGCTGGTTGTACTTCTTGAACTGTTCATGAGGCCAGGAAACTCCAAACTTAACTTTGGTGGAACCTGTAGACTGTCAGCAAAGGTTTTTGTGACTGGTAGAGATGGTAAATTGCCCGGAACAAATCAAAGCTGTTTATTTAAAAGAACTTCAGATCATACCCTGGACTCTCCCTTAGTTGAAATGGAAAGAGGGTGCAGCTGTGAGTGAAAATGCTTCACTCCAGAAGAGCTACTGCTGGTGACACATCAATTAATCACCCTGCCAAAGGGTACTGCCTCAAATACAGCTCCAGTGTTCTTACAATACAGGATATTTTTAGCTGTTTTGTTATAATGGAGGAAATTCTCCTCCAGCAGATAGTAAGAGAGTCTTCTAGCAGTGTTTAGTTTGTGTTCTTGCCCCAAGAATTACTTTGGCTTGTTGTATCTCAGTAAAGCTTGCAGTTCTTGTTTGTCGGGTTCCTCTGATGTTTAGGCAAGGGATAGTCTTGCAGTTAGAGAACAAAAGTGAGAAGCGTGACTCTATTCCTGGCTCGGTACTTCCCAGACAAAACAAAGGAGGCAGAGAGCAAGGTGGAAGTACAAAGTCTTTTCGTTTCTTGCGCTCAAGGAAATAGAGTTTGATGTCAGTTCCAGTCTCTACCCCCAAAATCCCAAGCCTTAGGAGCAGTTTGTGAGTAACAGTGCTCAGAGGAGCTCCAGTGCAGCAATAGCTGAAGGGAGTCTGTCGTGTCAGCAATATATCTTTCCTAATGCAGACAGTTCTTAGAAGTGTTGGATGAAGCGCCAGATCATTTTAAGCCCAAATGAACCAACAGATCAGATTTTGTGAGCCGTGCTGTTGCACTGTTTCCCTCTGAGTGCTCGGGCCTGTGGGTAGAGCATTGTTTCAGTTGCTGGGCAATTGTCATTGCCTCAGCCACGCATTTCCATTGTGAAAGCAAACCTTACTTCAGTTGGGATGTGGGATTTGTCAAAACCAAGGAGACTTAAAATAATCATTATGGGTTGTAAGGATTCAAAAGAGAAACTGCTTTTGCAGTGTTGTTGAGTTTAAAACAATCTGTTAGCAGCAGTGTCAGAACAAGTCGTGGCTGTTTCCTGTTCCTCCCCCCATACCCAGACATTCCTTTTCCTGCCAGGAGGCCCCAGCAGGGCAGGAACACCCCCACCTTTGCCCAGGTGTGCCCCTGGCTGCCCTGCCCTGCCCTCTGCAGCAGTGGAATTCCAGTGGTCTGAGAGTGCAGTCAGCTCTGTGTATTTATTGCTTTCAAAAGGCCACAGGTCTGAGGGCTGATACAAGCCCAGAGAAATCAGCTGCTGCACTGACCAAGGAGAGCCTGCTTAACACTTGCCAAAGAAATGACAGGTCAGGAAGCATCACTGGGGATTCTAAGAGACTTTTGACATGTAGAAGGTGTATATTCCCTGCATTCCCTGGATGATGCAACAGATAGCAGGAAAGATCTGCCTGCTTCTTTAATAAAGTATTCATATTTGGATTCAGGCGTCATGGTTGAATTATTGCCTAGGCTTATCTGTCTTTCATTGTTATTATTTTGAGAGTATGTCTTTATTAAATTAGCTACATACAATCCTTTAGGTTGAAATGAGTCTGGCTGAAGAGAAGCAATCAGACCAACTCACTCCAGATTGTTAGTTCAGTTTGATTTATTATAAATAGCTGAGGAGATTGCAGATAATTGCTTATTTAATGTACATAATAATACAGGTGGTGAGTTAGCTCATGAGTGCTGCACAGACACTCACATTTAGGGTCAGGCAAGAAGAGCTTCCCCTGCTAACACCTGTGTATGGAGATAAACCCTGGATATGAAGGCAGCGTGAGGTCATACCCACCAGAACCAATGGCCACACACAGACATCTTTGTGCTCTTCTTCTCCTATTTTTAAAACAGCCTGTTGAATAACCTGTTGTGTGCCAGCTGCTCAGGATGCTTTAATGTCCATCTTCAAGCTGTCATTTTCTTCTGTCACACTGGCAGTTGCACCACTGAGCCCATTTTTATTTCTGTTAGGATGACTACAGTGTTAGAAATTCTAAAATCACACCAGTATTTGATGGGGTGTGTGGCACTTCAGAGAGCACGTGGTGCATGGTGGAGCAGTGCTTGCTGCAGGGTGGCTCTGGGACCACCCACAGAGCAAAGACTGAAGGATAACCTGTATAACCTGGAGAGTTAGAGGCACTAAACCGTGATAATAATGTGGATGTTCACATGTACACAGTGTTATAGAGTTCTGCTGTCCCTCTAAAATGGGATGTGCAGTTGAAGGGGCAGATTTTATCCTGCTGCTGCTTCTGTTTCTGAGCAGTGCCCTGAGGTTACCGCTGACAGTGTGAGTGCCCTGAGGCACAGGGGACTCTGTTCTCAGTTGTCTGACCCAGCATGTGCCACTCCATCTGTAGCCTCTCAAATGCTTCTCTCTCTTCTCCCAGTGATTTACACAAGGGATTCCAAAGTTTAAGTTCCACTGCCGAGGGATCAGTGAAATCTCTGTGTAGTGTTTGTTGAAAGTACGACTAAAAATATGAATGATTAAGTTAACATGATCAGATAGATGAGCCTGAGCCTTCCCTGATGCTGGTGATTGCAGCGGAGTGCTCAGCCATTCTGTTCACTTTCAGGGGGTGTGTCCTGACCTGTGGCTGCAGAGGGGTACCAGATCCCACAGCAAAACCTTCCCTTTGCTGGACAGTGGGACTCAGCTCTGTAGGATGGATTTGGAAGTCTCCGTTTGAGGGTCTTAATCAGCCCATCTATCAGCACGTTTGATATCAAGGAACTGGAGCTGCACCCCAAAGTTTTTACC